AACCTCTGTAACTTAGCAAGCCTAGATCCGACAAGGGTCTTTCCGGTGTCCCAACTTTTCCCTCTTTCTTTGACAGTTCATAAGCTGCATGCAACTCAAGAGGATGTAGCTTCATTAAGTGGCGGGATTGAGAAAAACAAAAGAGTCAAGAGTGACAAAGAACTCACAGAAGGCTATCAAGAATTTGCCATATCCTTTTCTTTGATACGGAGGAAGAGTTAGAATGCAAGCTAAGTTGTAGGCTTCTTCCGAATGTTTTTCCTATACCAATAGAAGTTACATTTTATCAACAAAAACCAGGCACTGAAACTAAACAAACCTGTAAATGGCTTGCTATGTTACCTTTGAAAAGTATCCAACCATGTGGCATCCTCGATCATCACATTCGCAAAGAACGTAGAACAGAAACAAATCAACATCGTAGTAAAGAGTTTTGTGGTCAAGAAATAACTTTGCCAGGTAACAGAGATTCTGCGCATAGACCTTGTTCTTTTTGCCATCTACCTGTACGATCAGGGTACAGTTAGAGAAAGGATATCAGAAAGAAAATTCCTGCTTGGTGAAAGTTCACTTCTTAATGTACAACAGAACCTAGTGAAGACTAACTAGCATTTATATGCAAAAACGGAAGCAATAAAGCTGACAATTTTAAGATTATTTTCACTGGAAGAAGTCGGAGCAGACATTATCAAAAAAAGTCCCGGGTTATTACCTCAAACATTGACAAGGTACCACTTCGATAAATTTCATCACCAGGGGGGTGCTTCAGATCACACTTCCTCTGCAGAGAAAAACAGGTAAATTATACAATGACTAAAATATAAAGAAAATACATAAATGCAGCAACTTGAATGAACCGTGAGTGTAGATATGCAAGCCAGTGAAAATAATTCAATACAATATGAAAGATTACATACTATATATCTCATACAATAAAGAAAATTACTTTGTTTCAGCAGCCACGGAAAAAGAAAAAGAACAGAGAATGTGGATTGAAAAAAGCTCACGAAGAATATGTACTCATAAAACATCATACATCAGTAAAAAAGACGGATAGTTGCTCACCATATGCCTTTGAAGCTGCTCTTTGCGTTTCATGAAATTCAGGCAAAACTCACAAAAGAAGAGCTTCACACAGTCATTGTATTCCGGCGGAAAAGGGGAGAAGTACCAAGTTTCAATCTCATATTTTCCAAGCTCAATCGTTGCTATGTTCTTCACTTTCGTGAACTCTTCATGTTCACGCAAACTTGCTGCATCCAACTCTTCATGACCCTATATAAAAAAAACACAGAATATCGAATCGACATAAGCCTTATGTTTCTAGGACCACCTTCGACTTCTAGTGGCATTCATTACCTACCTCTACATGTGTCTCATCGATCTTCCGCTTCTGGTGGCGTGTCATCTTCAAGCTAGTCACCTAAAAATTACAGTAACAAACATACATAGTTACGCTCAGTGCTAAAGGTGGAAGAAAAAGTCATGTAATGCAATGAAGAATTATGCAACTATCAGCATAAAACTAGAAAAACTACCTTGTCTTCAACTTTTTCATCAACGGCGCACTCTACTGAATCAAGGTCCAGTTGGTCCAGGTGAGTCCATTCATCCAGCCTCCTATTAACTGCACTTTCAAAAACAAATTGTGAAAATTAAACACTCGAAACATACACATTGAAGATCATAAGATTTCATAACACACCAAACTATATCGTCATTTTACTTAGCTTGATCATATACTAGCTAAAAAAAAGTGTCCAAAATCTTGAGAATCAGAATATAATGCAGGTTTTTTTTTTATCTCCTACTCAAAACCTCACCCAAATTGAAGCCACTTATGATGATCTAATTGATAAAGGCTTGCAATTCAACTCTCTTTGTTTCGTCCTACATTCTAAACCTCGATTGCGTATATAACGAATAGAATATGAAGTAAACACAAGCCCTTTACTAAAGTTTCACCATTTTGATGATCAAAAGTGCAAATCAACCAAAATTGAGGACTGCACATCATGATCCAAACACGTAACCCTAGATCAAAACTTGGTAAAAAGCTAAACGACATACACTCTGTGTAATGAACGTAATACTCGTAATCATTTTGGCCGCCGTTATGAATCCTCCGGCGCTCGATTACTTTCACCGGATGGTGTTTTCCGTCTCTCCATCGACACATCACGCGAGTACCCACTTCGAGCGGAAGCATCCCCATTTTCCTCTTTTTCGACTGATCCGACTCTGAGATCGCCTGATCAGGAGTAGAATGAGGTTGATTCAGAGGCGCCTCAGCGCCATTCGTAGCCGGAGGCTTGTGATTCGACGACGGTGACGAGGCTGTCCCGTTGGTTTCTGTATTCGCAGACGATCCCATTTCCCGGTCGGGTCGGAGATTCCCGGGTGGGTTTTTCTCTCGCATACGAGCAATGCAAAATAACTAGAAAGAGAAAAACGACACTTGAGGCCCATTAATTTCAATATACGCTATCTGGGCCTTCCTATCCCATTTAATGGGCCGGGAAATAAAATCTCCCTATATCATCAAATCGAGTTAAATGGGAAAAAAAAGAATCATATATAACCGATGTACTTTAATAGTGATTGAAAATAATATACGAATATACGATGTAACGTACAAAAAAGTTGGAAAGAAAAAAAAAATCACTATTAGTTTTGAAGGGAACACCAATACTGAAAACTGTTCATATATATGTTGTGCGTCAATTCATGTCTTTATTGAATGGAGTATTTAATTTTGTATATAAGTCGAAACGATGATCTAATTAATTAAAAACGTTGTTAATAACTTAAGAGCAATATTTACATCCTTTTCATCTATATATACTACCTTCTCCATTATAACAATCCATTATATATGGCTTCTTCTACAAATCGCCAATTAGTTTTCACACTAATCTTATTTCTCAGTGGTTTGGTCTTTCAGCTATGAACGAAACTGTGATGCCCCAAGGATTCCTCCCTTTCGCACCTAAAAAAGTCGTGATCATTAACAAATTATCCTTGGGATATACATTAGACGTGCACTGTAGGAACAAAGGAAAAGATTTAGGGCTTGTTCGGCTCGCACCTTGAGTTAGTTTTGAATTCAAGTTTCGCACAAATATGAGGCAAACCACAAGGTACCATTGCACTTTCTGGTGGCCTGAGGCCCCCAAAGTGTTGGAGTTCGACATTTTCGACGTGGATAGAGACGACCACGTCTGTAAAGTATGCGTTTGGTACGCCTTCGAGGGTTTGATTTGTCGGGTGCGACGTGATAAAGAAGAACCTACCTTCTGTTTTAATTGGAATCCTCGTAATCCTCCTAATAAATCTTAAAATTATATCTTTCTTTTTCCTATTTTGTTTTCAATGTATTTTCAAGAATACTACTAATAAAAAAAATCAGATGATTTTTTCATTCTTATAGAATTCTGCTTATGATAAATCTTTCTAAAATTACTTATATTCTTATTGTTGATGATATGGAATAGTTGATGATACTTAATATTAATCTTATGAAAATTTAAACCAAATATTTTAGCAGGTTTCTGGCCATGAAAATTAGAGATGATTTTGTATCATGACCGATGGCTATCGAGTGAATATTTGATGCATGTTTACTCGTTGAGTTCTTTTATTTATCTCTAGGCTATGAATCTATATAAGTATGGCCAAAAAGAAAATAAATATAATTGAATGATTTCCTGGCAAAACGAATAGGTTTCCTTGAATATCTCAATGACATTTCGTTGCGTATTTATTAAAACTTATGAATGTGAGGATCAGTCACAAAAGTCAGCGGAAATATCCAAATGAACTCTGCATACGTTTGGTCTCTCTTTCTCTCTCTCTCTCTCTCTCTCTCAGTTTTTTCTGACTAACAAGTGTGGAGCAAAGCTCTGGTTTTTTAATGTTTGTTGTCAAAGGTTTTCTTTTTATTATTGGGAAGGTAAAAAGATGTTGCAACTGATTTAATTGGACGTCAATTCATTACTTCGAAGACAAAACAAGCAAGTACATTTTCTTTGCACCATCCTCTATATAAATGTGTCAATACGCATTGTTCCTTTTTTGGTATATCCATAGCTATGTGTATATATCGATACCATATCGGATTAGGCGTAAGATACATAACAAAGTTCCATTTTATGGGATGATAATCGTAGTCGCATTCCCATTAACGTTATTATCAAAACTAAACATATATTTCGTTTAGCAATTTTACAAAACGAAAAAATTATAAACCTAAAGTGTAATTGGGATAGTCTATGTATCAGGGTTTTTTGTTATTGTATGATTAATATCTTCTTCATTACAATTAAGTTTTTTTTTGTAAATCAAATGTTAAAAAATTGTCCCATGTATATATATATATATATACACACACACGCAGCATACATATACAAATATATTTCAAATATGGGTAGGTAATAATTATTAACGTTCAAATGTGAGGTTTGCACGTAAGATGAATATGTGCACCTTATAAAAAGAAGAAGAGGAAGAAGATGAATTTGTGCTTAAATAAGTGTCTAAGTGAGAGATGCAACTATGGAGTGTATACATTACTCATATGCCAGTGCTCATATGTGCTTGATATTATATAATACGTACAAATATATGCGGTGTGTATACAAAGACAAAAGTCCACAGTAATGATAGCACTATTTAAATAAGGTTTTTTCATGGCGTCATGGCTTTTATTCCCGAAAAATGCCCGGCCAAAACTTGTATACAACCAAACTACAAATCAAGACCTTATTATTTTATATACGAAATGATAACATAAATATTAAATATATGGTGGTACACAACTCAAGCTAACCGTTATGATTATTCCACAACCTTTTCTCGGTCAACAACAATATATTATGTTATATCCTAACAAACTCTTACTTCGTATCCATTAATATATATAATAATACTTTCCATAATTGCACCATTACTCACACTTTGTAACATAATTTAGTTACTATTTATGGAAAATGTCACCTGATTTAATTCAATTTTTCTCCTCCTCCTCCTCCACCGAAATCTGGGGGTGGTGGCGAAACCCATGACGTCATCGCTTGAGAAGCTTGGTATTGCGGCGGAGGAGGAAGATTATTGAGTAGCCGGATCTGCCGTTTCAAGAACTTGACGTAGCGTATGGCTTCGTCGAGCATTGAAGCTGTATCCATCTTGGTGCCACCTGGCACGAGTCTCTGAAGGATTCTGATCCTCTCGCTGATTCTCTCACGGCGGTGTCTCGCCGCCACGCTCTGAGGGTCGTCGGAGATTCTAACGTTACGGCGTTTGGGTTTCATAACGGTAGCCGGATCGATGTCGACGGGCTGCATGGCTGCGATCTTGTACATCATCTCTTTCATAGCACTGAGTTCCTCTAGAGGCTCATCTTCGTCTTCGTCTTCTTCTTGATCATCGGACAGAAGAGTGGTTGTGAGGGAAGAAGAGAGAGGAGGGAAATGAGAAGAAGAAGAAGAAGAAGAAGAAGAAGAAGTGAAAGGATTGAACATGTGGAGGTGGGTGTGTTGGTCCATGGCCATACCGATTGGATCGTTATGATGATGATGATCATTCTTGTTGTTGTTGTTGATGATGATGTTGTTCCAAGTGTAATTTTGGAAGAGAGATGGGTTCATATTATTATTATTCATACTTTATGTTTGTTTGATTTGTGAAAATTTTAATGCCTCTGAGGCAGAGATAAATACATATTATATATATATATATGTGTGTGTTTGTGTATGTGTGTGAATGTGCCTATATTTTAAAAGAAATAAAGGTGATCATCATATGATGAGGGGTTAGGTTGGTGATGCAATAGGGATATTTTTGGTGCGGAGAAAAAACATATACATTTAAGAATTATATATATATATATATATATTGTAAACAAGTGGACGTTGCTAGCCGCTATTATATATAAATTAAATTGTTCATAGTAGAATAAGAAGTCCTTAAAAAGCTCTAAATTTTTTACAATCGTCGTATCAATTATGTTAAGTAGTATAGTTTTTTATACCCAAAAAGAAAGTTTAGTTTGCATTGTTCCACACAAGAAAAGCGATTTTAAAAAGCAGCTCGAGCAGTCGAACTAATGAGATTGCAGCTAATTAATTTTGTAAATTTTTACAAACCCTCTCATTCCTTAATAAATTTTAATTATATTCATATTAAAAATGAAAATTACATATTGGTTTAGAGTTGGCTAGGTTTTCTATCTCTCACATTGAGACTTGGAATTAGGGTAGATTGACAAAGTGGCCTTCACCAAAGTAATAACTAATTAGGATGTGAATTACTTTATATGAACATGAGTTTCTCTTTGATTCTCAAAAGATGTCACCACTTGTGTGCTCTTATTCTGACTTCTTGAGTTTCAATCTCTTTCTTTATCTCTTCGCAAACGCACAGTCACCAAAATAAGAAATATTGATAACTTTTCTCTCATTCCCTTGTCTCTTCACTAAATAGCACATTTTGTTGATCCTACACTCGTATCTCAATCAACGGTCGTGATTAGCTCTTTCCCTCTCGATAGAGTCCAATATTGAATGTAAAATGTGTGTGAGACTCACAATGCATGCTATGTATAACTTGCGACGTGATTAAAGGTATAAAAGGATCACATCATATCACTTCATTAAGATTTGGGTGTTATCCATGATTGTCGTTAACAAGAAAGACGTGTATCATCGTCGTGACTCGTTATATAAAACGGTAGATATATCATTTTCCATGACGAAAATTCTACATTTTCTTTCAATGTTTACATCTACGTAACTATTTACGTTCATGTTTTATCTAACTGTATATATCACAAAGCAAATTCGTAATATACACGAAAGTTTTATGAGGCTCAAAAGAGGGAGAGAGACGCTGCCGTTTCTTGATTAGTGCTCCAATAAATTAACTTGTGTTATCTTATATAACTAATTAATTATCAGACGGTCCTGATGTAATGTGACACAAGTTTCTTATGTCATATGTCTCATAGCAGAAGCAATGTATATACATCTACCTGTATCTACATATACGAGAAGGATTTGTATTATTATTATTATTATTATTATTATTTATATTTTGCACTTATGTTATGATTTGGTCTGCATAGCAATCATAAAAATTGCAAATTGCGCATGCATGCTGCAATCATGCATGATAGGGTTTCCTTCTTTGGTATTTATCAATCGTTCCTTGTATCTTATTCTTATTAAAGCCACCCAACGGCCAACTACATATACATGTCATCTCTTATACACACACCAAGTTTTTGATCGTTTGTTTAGGTCGTATATATATAGTATATAGTTTCGCATTTGTACTAAAATGGCGTAGTGTAATTATGTTTTGTCATGTTCGTGAAATTGGGGTTTATATAAAATGCGAATTAACAAGTTATAAATCGAGAAATATATATAGTATTTTTTGATCTAATATAATAGTATTCAATCAAATAACAGTCAAAACTATTATATCTTATAGGTATAAGTTGAACTTTTTTCTTGGTATGTATTTTTTTCCTTAGGTCAACTTTAGTATGTTAGATATATAGTGGAATTCAGATGGATTCGCGATTGCTATTGTTTTTAGAATCTGATCTTTAATCATTTAAGTTAAATGTAGAGTTTTAATTTGTATTCTAACCTTAAATATGTACAAATTGAAGTATTTATTTTTGAATACCTGCCGCCTATCTGGTTCCCAAACTTTCGAAGACCTGATACATATACTAGATTACTTGTTATTAGTGACAACTTTCGATAATGTGAAATATTATTTGTTATATAACACATATATTTTATTTATTGAACAAAAAAATGTCGGAGTTTTGTAACAAGAAAATGCGAAGCCAATTAACGATCATCCGTTTACGCGGCTAAATTATTTTCTGTTATAAAGTTGGAATGACTGATGGTTTGAAGTTGAGAGGAAGCTCATAAACTTTTAGGCATCCCGCATCTACAGATTGTTATAAGCTAATGGTTGTTATTAGCTATAAAATCTGGAGATAAATTGGAACATCGGGGAAAATGACAAGATCCTAATTTAATAAAAGCTAGCTTGAGTGCAATCGAATATCACTAAACCATTTTTTCAGTCAATTATCACAAAATGTGCTTTATGATGGTCTATACATGCCTGTGACAGCTCAAAAGGCCCCCTTTCTCGTCCGTATATAAGTTATAAACTGTAACTGTAAACCCTAACTAGATGAGTCTAATGTAAATGTATATAGTACATCTACACGTGAGTGGACGAAATAAATATGTAACATTTTCCGAGGAAGATTGAATCATTATATCTGACACGATCTCCATTATTTCCATCCAAATTACCGCGTATGTATATAAAAGAATTTCAATTACCACATAGTCACATACATATTAATTGTTGAGCAAAAAAACTTATCACCATATGTCATATCTCTATATATCGTATAGGACTATATATTTTTTGGGAACAATTGTTTTTTTTTTTTTTAAAAAACAATTGTGATAACGATTCCCAAAGACCCACCCTCTCATTTCCTCAGAGTCCGGTCTCTTACAGCGACTTCTCTTTTTCTCTTTTCCTCTTTCTGCTTGCACCATGGAGAAGAACAAACAAATAAAAACTCAGTATTGTATGTTTCTAAATTTGAACACCTTGTAATTTAGTGATTTCACTTTATCCGTATCGAATTTCACCGGCTATATATGTTTGGTCATAATTAGTAATTATTAAACCATTAAACCAAAAGATAAAATATACTTTCACAGACTCATTAGATTAAGGGTAATTATCCGAAACTAAAAAGTCAATTTGGTGATCAAGTTAAAAGAAAAGAAAAAGGCAGACGAGAAAAATAAATTGAAACAATTTGATTTACGAGAGAAATTAAAATACATGACAACTTTACGGAAAACAGCCTACTTCTTCTGCTTTTAACCCTTGTTTGCTTAAAATATCAGCGCATTTGTTTCTTTCTCATTTCGTGAAGGTAAACTAAACCTCCTGATATACATTTCTTCCAATGCAAGATTGTTTGGACGCAGAGATTTTCTGGCTTTCGATAAATGGCTTGAATCAATGCAAAACAATCACCTTCAAATATTACCTTGACTAGACTCCAAATAGGTTGCATAGCCCATAGTAAGCTTTCACATTCTGCCTTCTTCGAGAGAGATCGATTTGGTGTCGTTGCCCAACCGAAATATGATGTAATCGTTATTATACTTAGCTATGTCGATAAATGTTTTGGATATATATATATATATTTATATATATATGACAAATATGACCCTTTTTTGTTGTTCGAAGACAAATATGACTTTCTAACATATAGATTTCTATGAGTGCAAAATTAGGATATATCCGTAACAGCTAGCAATTGTGATGATAATACAAAATACTTCATTATAGTTACTACAATATATTTGACAGAAAAAGATGGTAAAAACTGTTTTCTTTTCTGTTTCATTTTTCGCATGAGGATCTAAAAGTCTAAAAAGGTGATTACAAGGCATGGGCAGATGCTGTGGAGAAAGTGAAGAAGTCTCTTGTTTGGCCCAAAAGTGTTGTGATATAGAAAGCTCTTTAATGAGTTTTTTCACTTTATTTGTTAATTATTTCTCTTTTTTGGAATATAAATAAATTAGATAGACGAATTTAATTTCAACAATTTTTATTTGCTTGGATAATTAATGTATTGTAGTGTCCATGCATATGCTCGTATTTTAGCGAGAAGTAGACTACATAACCTAGTAAGTCATTTACTTAAAAAAACTATTAAGTCATCTATTACTGTTCCTCCCAAAGTTTGTTACCAAAATAATCTAGCATTTTGACCCGAAATAAATAAATTAAACTAGCACATTTTGACCATGACATGTCGATTAGTGATCTATACTAGAATTGTTATTGCATTATCACTTGAATCCAAACTCACATATACTGCATGTTATCACTTGAATTCAAACTCACACAAACTCACATACAACGTTGTATATTAGATTATACAACTATCGGTTAATCCAAATGAAAAAGTAAACAATCGCACACATTTCAAATTCAAATATAAAACTTAACCAAAGATAAACTTATTATACACACGCATAGTTAAGTGTTATATAAATTTTGTTTTGTGTGTGTGTGCGTGTTTTAGACTTTAAGTAAGTAACTCCCTTGTTTATTTGTGAGATTGGCCGGAATCCTCTCGAGATAAATTCAGGAAACAAAATGATCCTAGTTCGTATAGTTTTAGTCTGAAAAAACCCAAATTTACGATACTCATAAATTCGAATCCTGTTTATTTCTGAATCTAAGGCGGAACTTCGTAATTTAGCCCTAATTTACACCAGAGACTGCTTTTCTTAGTAATTGACATTTTGCAACCTAAAGCCATGGTGAAATAATTTTGGTAATTGACAAAGGTGCAGCCCACATATTCCTGGGCTTATACTGGCCCAAACTATTGTCATTCAAAATATCGGCCGCCAAAAATCTGACTATTTTATTTTTATAACCACATATGTATATACTGTAACTACACATCATTTTTATACCAATTGTAATGTGTTGAAAGATTTTTTTTTAAATAATTTCTTTTGGAAATAGAATAATGTCTTAAGAGATTTGTACAAATACACGTGAAAGTTCTCATTCATGTTCTTTGAATGAAAACTAAATAACTACATATCATTTTCTTTGATAAATGCAAAGTTGTCACATACAATCAAACAAACAAAAAGCAGATTACGAATCTTCATATATTAATATATATGCAATATATGTTCAACATTTACTTAATATAGTCTTGCTACCTAGTTAGTAAATAAAACCTATATCTTTGTCCTATAAAAAGTATAAATTTTTAAAGATATTGGGCAATTTTGAACACACAAAACAGACACTAAAGGCCCAAAGTTAAACAAGTTACATTCAAGTGTTAAGGAAAACTAAAATCTACAGCATAAAATATACAGAGATCTGTAACCGCAGTCCGCAGACAAACATATAATACTGAGACTGGTGATTAGTGTTTGCTAACGCCGATCTAGATAATAACTAAGCAAATCAACATGTAATCTAAAAATTAATTATTTTATAATACAGTTGTATCCATTTTTTTAAGAGGATACGATATTTTTCGTATCAATAAAAGGAAATAATTCAATACTTATTAGAGAAAAGCCCATAAAGAAGAACAACTGCCAAACTTAAAGCCAGATTAATAAAGCTTAACCCTGAAATTTAACATTAAACCAATAAAAACCGGGTTCCAAACCGAACAGTTTCAATCTCCTTTATTCCCGAACCGTAATTAAAAAAAAAAGGACACTCAGAAAATTCCAATCTCTCTCTCCTCTCCTCATCGTCTTCTGCGCGCATGATCGCAATAGTGTTCCACTATGCACCGCCCGTGACTCTAATGGTCTGTGACTGTAATCCATTTCTCTTCATTTAAATTTTATTAATTTTTTTTCCCAAATTCTACAAAAATTTAATTCATTTCCATACACCCATTCACATATATATATATATACACACACATCGTTCTCTAATGGCATCTTCGAAACTACTGCATCATCCTCTTTCCTCCTCCGCTAAATCTCACCGGAGAAAATTCCCAATCCGCTGCTTCTGCCTCCTAATCACCGCCATGTCCTCCATTCTCATCCTTCTCTTCTCTCTCTCCATCTTCGCCTCTCCCTCTTCCTCCTCTCGTCACCACCACCACCACCACAATTCCCCAGAACTACCCTCCGGCAATCCTCCGGCCAATCCCTCGTCGCCTCCCGCCGCTCAGATCCGCCTCGCCTGTAACGCCACTCGTTACCCAGATCAATGCGTCTCCTCCTTATCCGAACCGGGTCGGGTCCCTTCGGATCCTAGCACATCTCAGATCATCCACTCAGCGATCTCTCTCTCTCTCCAAAACCTCAAAACAGCCCAATCGAAAGTGAAGTCTATCGTAGACGCGTCCGTAGGGAATCTAAACCGCACCAACGCCGGCAACACGTGTCTCCAGCTCCTCTCGTACTCCGTGCTCCGTACCCAATCGGCTGATCAAGCTCTGACACGTGACAAAATCAAAGACGCTCGCGCTTGGCTGAGCGCTGCTCTCGTGTACCAGTACGATTCATGGTCCGCGCTCAAATACGTCAACGACACGAACCAAGTCGGTGAAACGATGTCGTTTCTCGACGCACTTATCCACGTCACCAGTAACGCGCTTGGCATGATGGTGTCGTACGATAACTTCGGAGACAACGTCGCGTCGTGGATCCACCCGGCAACGGAGAGGGACGGGTTCTGGGAGAAGACTGGGCCGGGTCTGGGCTCGGATCCGAGTACATTGCATTTTCCTTCCGGTTTAAAAGAAGACGTGACGGTCTGTAAAAACGGGAAATGCGGTTACAAGACGGTGCAGGATGCCGTTAACGCGGCGCCGGAGGGTAACGGAATGCGTAAGTTTGTTATTAAGATTAGCGAAGGTGTGTATGAGGAGACCGTTAGGGTTCCCTTTGAGAAGAAGAACGTTGTGTTCATCGGAGACGGTATGGGCAAAACGGTCATTACAGGCTCGTTGAACGCCGGGATGCCTGGGATCACCACGTACAACACTGCAACTGTCGGTGAGTTTTTATTATGAGTAAACGTCTTTTTAATGCTTAAAGCAACGTAATTTTCGTGACTGAATATAAGCGTTGAAAATTCTAATTCTTTTGAGATTTAACTAGTTGCTAGATTTAACATTATGTGGGTTTGCACTGTGCACGTGAAAGAGTTTTTTTTTTAAATATATATTTTTTTCTGATGTTGTCACTGAATTTAGATAAGCTGACCAGTAGAGTCAAAGAATCCAGTTTTTTTTTTTTTTCATTTAATACAGAATCGCAATTTATGTGCTATTTTTTGTGTGAAAAACTTTTCATGAATATGTCATTCCAATATGGCATGAGTTGGATCTTTACGTTTTGATTTTTTTTTTTTTTTTAAACTCTCTTTACATATAAGTTACCACTGGATGATAGTTCCAATGTCTAAAATATGATTACATGTGATGTTTGGTTTGATAGGAGTGGTAGGAGATGGATTCATGGCTCGTGATCTAACGTTCCAGAACACGGCGGGACCAGACGCTCACCAAGCGGTTGCGTTTAGATCCGACAGTGACTTTTCTCTACTCGAGAACTGTGAGTTCCTTGGGAACCAAGACACTCTCTATGCTCATGGCCTTCGACAGTTTTACAAAAGCTGCCGTATCCAAGGAAACGTTGACTTCATCTTTGGAAACTCAGCTTCAGTCTTTCAAGATTGCGAAATCCTGATCGCACCGCGACAAGTTAAACCCGAGAAGGGCGAGAAAAACGCCGTCACTGCTCAAGGAAGGGTCGACCCGTCACAGTCCACGGGTTTCGTGTTCTTGAACTGTTTGATAAATGGAACAGAGGAGTACATGAAGCTGTATAAAGCTAACCCTAAGGTGCATAAGAACTTCTTGGGGAGGCCATGGAAAGATTATTCAAGGACTGTGTTTATAGGCTGCAATTTAGAAGCTTTGATTACTCCTGATGGATGGTTACCGTGGAGCGGGGAATTCGCGCTCAAGACGCTATATTACGGTGAATCTAAGAATACGGGTCCGGGATCGGATAGGTCACAAAGGGTTTCATGGAGCAGTGAGATACCAGATGAGCAAGTTCATGTGTATTCCGTGGCTAACTTTATTCAGGCTGATGAATGGGGTTCCATGTCTGCTTGACTCGACCTAAAGATTGAAAAGGATTAAAGGAAAGTTTTCTAAGAAGAAAACCTTCTCATTGTACTTTAGTTGAGAATTTTATAAATCTATACTTTACATTCATGTTATAGCAATTGAAAGTTCAGTTATTTAGGACTAATTGATGAAGTCAAATAACGGTAATAGCTTTTTGGCTTATCATTATATGTAGCTATCAAAGAGTTTAGTAGCGTGTTGGGCTAAAATCAATTGAGTGTGGTCTGTGGAGGAATATCTCAAGTTGCGAGCTGAGAAGCGTATGATGCTTTTTGCTTGACGTTAAATCAGAGTTTGTTGTAAGAAAACGAAACCCCCAAAAGTTTTCAACGAAGTAGACATCATCATCATCTCAGTTCGTTACAGTTGGCTGCAAAAGTCAGGAGGATGATGGAGGTTGCAGAAACTGGTAAAGGGTAGGTAAAAACCGTTAATTTCAAAGACGAGCAGGTTTCAATTGGAAATCAACAAGTGTATTAGGGTCCTTTTTAAGTGGTTCACCTAAATACTTTCAAGTGGGTAGGGAATCCATGCATTAGGCACATAATTCTACTGTTTTGGTAGATCATAGGGCCACACATTAAGAAGGAGTGGTCAATAACGTAACCTAATCTAGTAGAAGCAAGAGAAAGAGAGTAACTTTTACTTACAGTTTAGTTCATAGGTAGATGGGCAAAGAAAAAGCCTCTCCGAACCTGTTGATGCTTTCAAGGCTACATTTTAAATGTTCAGAACCAATAAAACAAGCTGACTTTATTCTTTAGCTTTTGAAAACATAGTATGGCAAATGCTAAATGATAGAGAAAGTTTACATAAGAGGCAACAACAAGATATTTGGTGGATAGAAGTAGTTTTGGTTTCCACATTATAGCTCGGAATCAGAGGTTTTCTCCTCCTTAGGTGGAGCGTACTGCTTCATGAGGCGGGATTTTGCCCATGGGTCCAACGGCACTCGTTGTGGTGGTTGAGGTGTTGGTGGACTCGATTGCCTAAGCTCGTTCTCTCTGTCAATAAACCTGCCCAAAGTTTGATCATTTAGTAATTTAAAAGACTTCAAAAGACACTCAATCTTTTCGACCATTGACACTACTCATTTGATCCACCATCGAATCACAGAATAGCAGAAGGAATGATAAAGAAAGGAAATGATTTTTACTCGATATAGGCCATTGGGGCAGCATCACCAACTCTTATGCGAGTACGTAGCATTCTTGTGTATCCACCAGTTCTATCTCTGTAACAAAACGATATATATCTCAATGACTACACAAAGCGCTTAGGTGATAGCAGTTAAAATGATTGCAACAGATGTCGAAGATATACTTGTATCGATATGCCAATTCTGTGAAAATCTTGTGAATGACATCATCTCCTCTGAGAAAACCACCTGCTTGCCTTGTCGCGGCGAGTGTGCCCTGATAAAGTTTTATCAATGATATGAAATTGTCTGATAGAGAACTAAATTACTTCAGCTGCAGAAATCACTTATAGGTAGTAAGAGGAACTTAGTATGGCTCAAGTCTCTATCTTTTGAACAGATTCTCAATGCTTTCACTAGATATCGATATTGTGATACTATATATTTGAAAAACGCCATAAATGATCAACCAATAACCGAAAATATGAAGTTCTGAGTTCAACATAACAAAGGCATCCAGGAACCAAAATACCTCTTTGCCGAGTTGAACCATATTATCAGCAAGACGACGGACCTCTTTAGCCTGCAAAACCCAATGTTTCTTAGCAAATATCTTCAATTCACTAAACACCATTTACAAATCTTAACAGTGAATCTAAAAGCAGCCCAATAAACAAGGTTTGCTATATAAAAAGGTATCCTTTTCACCAAAACAGACAACAACAATCTGATGAAATTGAGTTACTTTACAGGCAGGGAGATTCGCAGATTCTATAAACCCTGATTAAACCCCAGAATATGGAAATGTGGGAGAAAATCGAATCAGTACCTTTGTGACGGTGGTCTCTATACGCTCGTGCTTCACCAGTTGAGACACCAGAGTCCTGATTACAAGAGTGAAAACCAACACTTCAAAATCAATCGAGAAATGCTTCTCTAGGTGAGAAAAGAAAATGCGAAGAGGAGAAATTGAAACCTGAGCATGGCCATACGGTGACCCGCATGACGGCCGAGCTTCCTGAACTTGGTCATTTCTGCGTCGGAGAAGTGATCGGAGAGAAGAACCCTAAGGAGGAGAGGAGAGACGGTAAATGTGTACAGCCAAGCTTAGTGTTGGGCTGGGCTTTGAAGGCCCACGAGTACACACATGCCGAATTTGACATGTTTGTTCTAAAATATGTATATTCTGTATTTGGTTTAAACAAACCAGCTCGTTATAAGATTTGACTTTAGTTATACCTTTTTCATACACATACAAATCATAAGGTTACAACTACATATTCAAAGATTGCTTTAGTTGTTCATTTTTGCAACCTCTTAAGGTGGTGAAGTTCTCCAAAAAACATATATAGAAAAGAAGTTAGAATTTCATTTGAAATCAAAACAAGAGTTTTGCCAAAATAAGAATTAGTCTATCACTAACTTCATAACTAAGAATTGCATAACCTCTTCAAAGGCCATATATTTTAGCTCTACATTTCTAATTAGCCTGTAAATGGCAACAAAATTAACCAATTGATCCAGAGACACTGTAAATCTGTTTGAAGCCAAAGATCAGAGGAAATGATGAGTAGGATACTCATGCTCATAGCCATTGTAGTCATAATAGAGCCTTTCCCCTTTCGATATATCGCGCGTAGCCACTAGAAGAACCCGACATTCGCCATTGACGCTATACCTCACGCATTTACAGTTCTGCTTCTTCTTGCCAGACCTGTAACCATCAAGTTATGTGATGACTCAAAGCTATAAACTTTGGTCAGAAAACCAAAAAAAGGTGTTAAGTTTTGCTTACCGATTGTGATTGTTAATGCCACTGATGAAGCGAGATATGTTTCCATACTTGTCGGGGCAGATAACAAGACTTTTCGATGGATCTTCTGATAGAAGGAGAGTCATGATGCTGTCACAATCGTCATGTTCTCGGTTCTTCAAGTAATCAACATCCCCTGTATATTCAGCTATGAATGTTAAGTCCTTAATTGGACCATCTGCTTCAACTGTGTAACTGTAATAGACGGAAAGAAAACATGTTTATAAAACTCCACTTTGTCATTAAAGGGAAGATTGATCGAATGAATCGAGAGATACCCTTCAAGCGGATCAAATACCACAACAAGAGGAGGGCATTCTCCTCGTCTACACATAGCTCGACACTGCTCCAATGTCTCTAAATCTTCTTTCGAAAGCACCTGCAAAACCGAGGAAAACTATTAAGGGAAGTAACTTAAACGAGAGTGTTATTGAAAAGGGCTGAAAGATTGTCATTTTTTTACCTGCATGCCACCTTTCTCGAACTTGGATTGATTTGCAGAGCGAGGAGCCATTCCGGTAATATAAGTTAAGTCATCGCTATATTTGATACCCAATGCTGTTAAGGCAGATGCAAGTGTGCCCATTTGTTTAAGCCTTTGATCAGGATCTTCTGATGGAACCAAAGGTAATAGTTTTCTCTTTCTCTTCTTCACTGTCAAAGAGCAAGATCGTCTCCGATACTTTCTAGTCTCTTCTTCAAAACAAGAAATGAAGCCATTAAAACTCATTTTGCTCAATTTCAAACACTTGATATTCGACTAATCCATGTATTTAAGGTATGTTAGTTCTCATCAATGCTAATAAACCCTAAGCAATAATGCTTCATGAGGGGCAACAGATGAAACACTAATTTAAAGTGTGTTATAGGCTAAACTTCAGCTCTTTCATATTCATTAAACTGATAATCAAAAGAAACACCTATTCAGATTCATAAAGCTAAGAGCTTTCAGACAAGGAAAGACCAAAAACAAAAATCGTACCTTGACTCTCCGATTTGTCCGTTTGATCAATTTGCTTCTCAATCCGAAAGAAATGCAAAATCTTCTTCTGAGATAAACCTAAACAAATTATCCAGACAAGAAAACAATGCCCAAAAATTTGAAAAAAAAAAATTAAAAAGAAAGCAGCAAACGAAAAGGATTTACTTTGAACATTCAAGCTTAAAAAATCCCTACTTGTCACAGGTCGTTGATCGGAACAATCGACACAGAGCCATGGTCCAATGGGGACACGAACCACGATCGGCCTAAGGCATTTCATGTGAAACCCTCTGTCGCATTTGTCGCAGAGAAGAAGCTCATCGTCTCTTTCTCCGGAGCCGCATTTCTCGCAGGTGACGTCACCGTAGCTGTCGTCTTGTTCCTGTTCAAGCACAGGGACAGATTTCGCCATTATATCGGCGATTGATTTCATCTTCCTCGGTGGAGATTCGAAGGAGGGTCGTCTCCGTGGAGCCTTCGTTCTTCGCCTCGAGGAGACGAAACGGGAAGGAGACGCCGTGGGGGAGGAGGCGTTCCACGTGGCCATGGCGGCTCACGGAAGAAGAGTCGCCGGAGAAGGAAGAGATGATTTTGATTGGTTGGGGCTAATGTGCACCGCGTGTGGGCATGAAAACTGATGTGCGCATCACCTCGAGTGTAATTTGGGTTCTTTCTTTCTTTCGATTTCTTACTTTCTTGCCTTATTTTTCTTTTTTAATATTTGACAAATTCAAAGTTACTGGTTAGGCAGCTTCTGTTTGTCTTAACAGAGTTATATAACATTGTAAGAGATCAATTTACAGTCATTAAATCTCTTTTTCTCTAAATCTCATTTATTTGTAGTACTGATATACAAAACAAGTAAAAATTTAATATCATTGACTATTTCAAAATAATACCATAATTATATTAATATAAGAATATGAAATTTTAATTTATGTACAAAGTTATGGAAATAAATTGTTGATACTGTTTTTCTAGCATTTTTCCCATATATTTCTCAGATAAATTGTTGAAAACATTATTTCTATGGAGGAAAAATAAACATTTCAGGATTTCATTTTAAATGCTATAAGTGATTATCATCCTTCAAAAATGTAATATCTGCAAAGGCATAAACAAGTCAACTTGTAAAATATTATTAAGTAACAAATAATAACTAGTGGCATTAATGTGTTTCACTAATTAAAGAAATTTATCTAAATCACACTAAGATGATTGTACAAACTTGGAAATTTTTACGAATATAAATGGAAGTTAAAGCTAACACATATCCATAGAAGGAAACAGATCTCTTAATCTTTTAGATGAAAAGAAAAAAAAACAAATTGGGCTATTTAAGCCGGCTGACTATAAACATAATGAACGTCGATTTGCTACTGAAAAGTGAAAACGCTCTGGCCTGGTCTGCGACAACAAGATTCAATAACCAACGGTGCAGATTGACGTATTGCTTCACCTAACAGCATTGCGTATGATCCACTTACATGGACCTTTTTAACGAAAATAAACAGTTCTCTTTTACTTCGAGCTTCAGTATGTATTTAATATGGACCTTTTTAACCCAAACTTTCGTTTATAGTCACTTCTTTTTTAAGTCTCGTTCATAGAGGCTTATTCGTTATGATTTCTGCCAACCAAGCCCATTAATTTTACTCCCGTTTCGTCAATATACCGCCAAGCCATGCATTTACAAAGAAAAGTATTGTTAAATACACAAAAAGAGAAGAAAAAAATAATAAGCGAGAATGATGCATAGGAGAAAAACGTGTGAACAAACATTGCATCGGTTTGTAATAGTAGATTTCAACAGTGTGGATACAGTAATGCTAAGGAACTTGGACAAGCTTTTAGATTTTATTTGCTGTTGTTCTGACATGACTACTGTTGTTACTTGTTGCCTTTTTATTTTCAGTTTCCTTCTGTTCTTCTAATATCTTGTCGGTAATATGGTCATTCCACTTCAATTTTTATGCTCCAAAAGCGGATACAACTTATTAGGTGTAAATTATTTAGTAAAACCTACGGGCTTTAAGTAGATTACACTGAGGAAAAATGTCAAAGAGACAAACAGTTGATTATAATCCTGTGGCGAAATTATAGAATTGGTTATCCGGGTCTTGGGGTGTAGTACTGTAGTTGTATTGTGTACTAGTTTACCACCATTAAGTCATGTTTTACCTCGAACTTATTCTAGGTAAAAGGTAAATATATGTTTTTTCTTGGTCGAATAATGAAAAGGTAAATCTATACAACCAAAGTATCTATGCAAATGCGTGGTTGGCTCAACCAATTGTAAACGATCATTTTTGTATAATAAGATATCGGAATTGTGTTTGTTTAGAGAAGAATGAAGAGGAATGGTTTACGTATTTTACATTTCAAAATCAACACATACCCATGCGTTAGTCATTGGTGGAAAAAAGTATAATTATTAACCACAAGTAGGGTAAACTAATTTTCTCTCGGTGAAGTTGATTAATTATCTATTTTTTCTTTTGATTAAACACCATTTACAACATAAATCTTATACAAAATACCGGGAAAAAAATATTGCGCATAACTCATACACTGCAATTAGGTACTTATATTGGTACTTATATTGTGATAACATAACACTCATATAACAATGATATAATCGAAGCATAAAAAATACTGACATTTAATATGTGAAAAAAACATAGTGAGAATATTGTCGATAATTATTTACTTATTTAAATCTCTTAGTTTTACATATACATTATGTTAAAATTCAATATATCAGTATTTTAAGAAGAGATTAAATAACTATAGTATCATAAAAGAAAAAATAATATGAATTTAGTATAATTGTTTTGACAACATGAAATGAAAATTAAGGCTTAACCTTGACGGCTTGACCCATTATTCATTTTCTTCTCTTTTTGTTCCCTCTTTCCTTTTCAGTTCGCATAGATGAAAATATTATACCGTGATACTTACCAGTGAACCTAATTAAAGAAGTCTTCCTCTAACTTTTTTTCGTTGTGGTCTATATATAAGAGCTATAAATTAATCTTCTTCGTCTTTAATTGAGAATCAATATTTTGTTTTTTTTTTTTTAATTGAGAATCAATATTTTGATATTTTAATAATACTTGTACACGACTTCATAAAAATATCTAATAATATTTAAATCACCCCGTTGCAACACTCCTAAACCTAATTGCATGCTTAGATTAGTAAGGTTCCTTACTTAACGACGAGAAACCATTTGGATTTACGTCATGTGGTTTTCTTTAAATAAATAAAACATACGAATAGAACCATAAGTAAATAAAAGAACATACGAATAGAACCATAAGTCAACATCTTTCAATCACACACTCTCTCTGTCTCTTGATGTGCCCATATTTCTTGCTGTCAACAATTCACAACCTCCTCTTTTTCATTCCATCACCCATCAACAAACCCTTTTAAATATTAAATAATTCCACCCAAAAAAACCCTTCTAATAAAAACCCGTTCCCTCTCTCTTTCTCTCTCATCGTCTCCAATCTTTAATTCAACAAATGTCTTCTCGAAACAGCAGATCTCAACTCACGAAAACAATCCTTATTCTCATTCTTTTTCTTGTGCTTCTGAGTTGTTGCAATGGAGCCAGAACCACGAATGTGTTCAACACGGGTTCGCCACCTAAACAAAACGACGTAGCTCATCATCATCATCGTCAAGTACAAGATCATAAAAGTGTACAGTTCTTGGGGTTCTTGCCACGTCAGTTTCCGGTTCCAGCCTCTGGTCCTTCTAGAAAACATAACGATATCGGTTTGACTAGTACTACTATGACCCGTTCTGCTCCTTGAAGCTCAACGATTTAATTATTGAGTCTCCTTTTTTATTTATGTAAGTTTTTTATGTGGTTTAATGTTGCCCTTTCTTGATTTTGGTTTAAACTGATGTAAATGGGATTTTAGTTTTAATTTTTTTTTTTCTGAGAAATGCTGTGGATAGATCAGCTTTCTGTTTTTAAATTGGAACTTGTTAGATCCATTGAAATATTGCACGTACGTAGTGTAAAAAATGAGAGATAAGGTGTTTTTGTATTAAAAAAAATATTGTTCCTTTTCATTTTCGGTTAATGAAAGCTCGGTCCAAATTTAATTGTATATACGTACGACTCGTATGCTATATTCAAATCGTGGATTAATTCGGACTGGTGATAATACGGTATCAATAACGATAATTTTTAAGATATAAGTCCCAATCAGTTAAGACTACAATTCGTTTGGTAGCGTTAATCATTGCAGATTGATGATTTCAATTATTTAATGTGTGTGTTCCTTGTTTTTAACACAAAAAGAACTCTTCTTCCTGCTCACAAACAAAAGGAGATTCAGTTTAAGAATTCAACAAAATATCTAATTAGTAAAAGTTAATTGTCTATGTCGTAGTGTTCATCTATCTTCCAAGTGATTTTTCTTTTGTAAATATTATAAGATTTTTTAATCAATTAAAATGGATCGAACGAAAATAAATGTTGTGTCATAAAATTATACTGGCATACTGGATATACTGCAAAGAGAAAATTAGGATATATATTAGGATACTACAATTTGAGTTTGTATAGACGAATTATTAGATCAGGCATTTGAGACGGAAAAAAAATTGATATGTCGAAATAAAAATAAAATAATCATAAAATGGACCTTGAAGAGTATCATAATAATGTGTGTTCGTGCGTAAAAGAGTGGTCAGTTGTTAAAAGTATAAAGCAATTGAAAGTATATATTATAACTTATAACTAAAACGTGTGATTATGATTGGACTTATACATATAATTGATTACGTTGGATCTATGCCTTTTGTTTAATTGCAGTGAATAATGTCATTGATTAGTCGTTGTGAATGCGACGGACCAACGGTTGCAGATTCTTATTGGAGGATATGATGTGATATCTCATATCTCCTAAGAAATTCAGATGTTCATTGAACGTTTTTTGGGGTTAGTAGTGAACTGTTATTGGGGTTAGTGCATTTTCTACATAATTTTTAAAAACCAATCAATTATATATATTCACTTGTTTCTCATTCAAACTTTGAATAACTTTATTGGATTTCCATGTGATGATATATACTTTTCACGAACAATAGGGTCCCTTGACTCAAAATTAGTTTTTGTCTCGATTACGACTTTGGTTTAGGTCATTAAAATTGCTTAGGCGTGAGCTATATTAGTTAAAGAGTAAAATAAAGAGATTCCATAAACGGTAAAAAGGATTTGTTTCATTTCCATTACTAAAACCTAAACTTTCCTAAAATGGATATTGTATCTTTTACTGTTTACATAAAGTCAGTGACTCACTGAACTGTTCTTACAAACTGTTATCTACAGATCAGTACTTACTGCTCCATGAAGCTCCCTTTGTAATAATTTTTTTAATAAATTAAAACTATTCTTGTGTGAAAAAACAATTTATTTTGACTACTTTTGTTTGGACGTCTTGTATTTAGGAAGATTACAGAATGGAATTGTGTCACCTCTACAATGTTGTTTGTATTAACCAAAGCATGCGTGTGAGAGTGAATAAATTAAGAAGCAAAATTGGCTGAAACGATGTGACAAATGGTAGAGTGAATATATTACGATGGATATGCGGCATGTGATGTGTTCATGCGTACGTGTGTACTCCTGTCCACGTGCACGTACACGTGCGGTGTACCCCGCCTGGATGTGGATTGGGTCTCGAGAATTTCGAATCACATATATCAAATTATTGATGGGAATTATTGTTGTATACTAACCTATAAATCTATAATCTATCCATAAGCACGCGTCGACAAACATAATAGTACCAAAACTCAATATTTTGGTTAATGATTGAACATTGTTGATTGTATTTAATTTTGGTTAATGATTGAACATTGTTGATTGTATTTATGATTCATACATGTTTTATACTCAATGTGTTAGTATTACATATATGTTTTGACGTTTGTTGATTACGCTTTGAAACTGGTCTGTTTGTCAAATCCAAACTGATCTGGTTAAAAAGAAATAACGAGTCAAAATTTCGGGGAAAAAAATGAGTTTATCATATGACTCGAAAACAAATACAAAAATATTCACGAACGTGTAAAATAAACATCACTTTTATGATTTACGATTTTGTTTTGTTAACATGACTTATTAACGATAAAACTGTTCCGAGTTGAAATCTATTTGATCTACCAATTTGATCATGTGAAAATCGGCGACGTATATCATGATAAACACCGTCAAACTCTGACAATCTCTACGAATAAAGTCACAACAACGATTAGCTTAAAAACAAGCAAAACGGTACCGCTATAACACAATGTGTTTTAATTTGTTTTTTCAGATTCAACGCATATTCTCTAAAGAGTCCACAACGCATATATATAATTGAAGAAGAATAATTAAGCTTTTAACCTACTCTGAGAGTCATCCACATAATTCTCTAATGAGTCTATTTTTTCCGAACCTACTGTGAAAGTCATCCACATTATACTAACAAGCTAAACAGTTAATAAACCACCAAAAATGGATAAAAATATGATATTTTGAAGATAAAAAGCAAACCAAAAAGTGGCTAAAATTCGAGTCTTATCGAATATATCTGAGACAACACCATCACGTAGACGCCGCATATATATTTCCATGCTAAGTGTTACATCATATATTATTATATTGCATTAGTTTTTTTTCTTTCTTAGATAACTCAAAACCAGTTGGAAATCTTCAAATTCATGCACATATAAAATCTTTTATATAAAGTAAAAAACATAATATATATACATGGACTTATTCTTATTCACATGGGATATATTATGTTAGATCCGATCTTATTTTCAGCATGGGATATTCTTCTACCACAGACTTTGTACATTCTAAATTTTTAAACCCAAACAACTTATAAAAGAACCCTAGTTTGTATTCTCTGGTTAAACCACAAGACACAAAGACTTGGTAAATGGGTCATTGGATCATTGGATCATTGGGTCTTACGGTAATGAATTGGGCCAAATTGGGTTCATAGTTAAGCGCAAATATGATATCGACATTCTTTCAGTCCATTCTATTTCAGCCCGTTTATTTTCACGAACCCAGGAAATCAAGTCATCTATTTATTTTCCCATCGAAAATGAAGTTTGACAAATATGAACAGTTTCATCTCTATTTACGATAAAAATGCAATTCAAAATTTGCAATCACTGTAAAGTGGAAATGGGAAAAATGGTCGCTCAACTTATCTTTCCTTCGAATACAACCACAAATGATGACGGCTTTGGCTTCCTTTTGAATTTTCCTTTTTACCTCTCTTTTTAAAAACAGTTTGTAATTATATATGAGAGTGTCAGGTAAGTTTATTTGACAAAAATATTAAGAAATTAAATATGAATCATAAATTAGAAAAGTCCCATTACTATTTTGATTATCTAAGCTGCCAACCAAGCGATACCACTTTCCAACTTTGATTGGCAAAGTGTAGGAACTTAGCACATGCTTCCAACATGGGATATGAAACTTTATTTCAAAAAGTTTATTTTGTTATAAAAATTTAATCATTCCAAAAGGTGATTAGCATTTGAAGTATTGAGCTACTTATTTTTTTGGACATATACCAAATAAAATAAATGGACAGAACATGTTGTGAGACTATACTGAAACCGAATTTCTCATCAAATATACAATGTCCGAATCCCTTATAACTTCTCATATCGTACATCCAAAGGGAAAGTTATAAAGCTTCTGCCATATTTTGTTCTTCAAATACCAACGCCATACACTCAATTAATACATCTTGTTACCTCTCAATTATATATATATATATATATAAATTTAAGTAGTATCATTTTGATCTATAATTTGACTTAATTTTCTTTAACAAAACGTATAATTTTGAAAAGATTACATGAATTGGAAATATTTCCGATTAACATACTACAAATTAAACTATAATAAACTTTAGTTAAATTTCTTTTAAGCATAGTCTTCTTACAGTTTTTATATCACAAGAAATTATCCGAGTTTCTAAAAAAATCTGAACCACGAAAAACTGAACATTATTAAGAATGAGTATTCAAAACATCCGTCAATTTTCTTCTGTTCGAACATTTCCCGTCAAGTACGTTATTTTAGTGTTTGAACTTTGAATTCTCAAAGACAACATAAATGATAGTAGTAGATATATACGATAAATTTAATTAAATTTCCATAGACCTTCAACAACAGTCACGGGAAAAAACCACAGGAGTCCGTTTGTCAGCAATAGTTTTATTTTATTATTCTGCAGTTCAAAAAACAAGTTTTATTTTATTATTTAGTTATTTGCAATCACCGAGACTAAAATTTGAACGCTGTCCGAACCACAAAAGCCGAGCCGATAAATCCTAACCCGAGCCTAGCCTAGCCGTAACGATCAGTCACGGCTCGCGGGCTGATTTATTTGAAGTGAATCCTAAATCAACGGTTGAGATAAACCTTTAAACAATCTAACGATCCCGTATCAGCGTCGGTGAGCTAAAACAAGTGTCAAGCCAGGTCACCATAGCATTTTCCCGCAGATTTTTATTTCATTTCGAACTTTTTTTAGAGAATATAAAAAAACAAATAAAAAATGAAAAATGAGGAGTGAAATGAAGGGAAAATCCTACCTATATATTCGCACATATACTCTCGTTTCACTTTCCTTACTAGCTGCTGGCCGCTGTTTGTTTCTGCTTCATTTCTCTCTCTCTATCGCTGCTTCTCGAATCGTCTTCTCTTCTGTATCATCTTCTTCTTTAAGGTGAGTCTAGATCCGACTTTTTTCACTCATCGCTTCTCGTTACTGCTGTTTTCTTCTGCTGATTTTGCTAGATCTGTCAAGCATGCGTTGATTTTTATGAGAAAATTGTTCATATCTTTGTTTGGGCCTACTTCGATCGGTGGTGGCTGTATCGATCTGATTTAATCGTTGATTTCTTAAGGTTTATGCAATAGATCTGTAGAGTTTGTGGACTCTTCTGGCTTGTGTCGATCTATCGCCGTTAATTTTGTTTGTGAGCTCAGTGAAGTGTCTAGTTCGAAATGATTTCGTGTTTTATCTGTGTGTTCGTTTGATCTGGTTTTAGTCTTCGATCTGTCACTGGTCGTCATTTACAAGTCAATTTCAACTGTTTTTCTCTTTGAGATCTGTGAAGTTTGAACAGCTTTCTTTTCATTTATATCTGAAGCGATGTTTGGATTTCACTTAACGCGAATCGTCAAAGCTAAGTTGTGATATGATGAGTGGGCATGTATTTAGTGTCGTTGTTTGACAAAAACGAATTGAAGATAGATTTTTCTTCATGAGCTTATCTGATTGCCTCCATTTTTTTTTTGTTGCTTAGTGAAAGATGGCCGACGGTGAGGACATTCAGCCCCTTGTCTGTGACAATGGAACCGGAATGGTGAAGGTGAGTAAGAGATTCTTTAATTAGCTAAAGTTTTGTTTTGATGCTTCTATCGATGTACTTGTGTAATCCTCTGATCTTGATTTTGATGTTTGCACAGGCTGGTTTTGCTGGTGACGACGCCCCAAGAGCGGTGTTCCCAAGTATTGTTGGTCGTCCCAGGCACACTGGTGTCATGGTTGGGATGGGGCAGAAAGATGCTTACGTTGGTGATGAAGCTCAGTCCAAAAGAGGTATTCTTACTCTCAAGTATCCAATCGAGCATGGTATCGTAAGCAACTGGGATGACATGGAGAAGATCTGGCATCACACTTTCTACAACGAGCTCCGTGTAGCCCCTGAGGAGCACCCGGTTCTTCTCACAGAGGCGCCTCTTAACCCTAAAGCCAACAGGGAAAAGATGACTCAGATCATGTTCGAGACATTCAATGTCCCTGCCATGTATGTTGCCATTCAGGCCGTTCTTTCTCTCTACGCCAGTGGTCGTACTACCGGTTAGTGCTCAACTCATAACATGTAAATATTATGTAACATTCTGTTCTTACCTGTCTCTGCTTATAAATGTTCTACTTTTTGTTTTTATAGGTATTGTGCTTGACTCTGGTGATGGTGTGTCTCACACCGTGCCAATCTACGAGGGATATGCTCTTCCACATGCTATCCTCCGTCTCGATCTTGCGGGTCGGGATCTCACAGATTCTCTAATGAAGATTCTCACTGAGAGAGGTTACATGTTCACCACAACCGCGGAGCGAGAAATTGTCCGTGACATAAAAGAGAAGCTTGCTTACGTCGCTCTTGACTACGAGCAAGAGCTTGAGACAGCTAAGAGCAGTTCCTCAGTGGAGAAGAACTACGAGCTGCCTGATGGACAAGTCATCACCATCGGAGCTGAAAGATTCCGTTGCCCTGAGGTTCTTTTCCAGCCATCGCTCATCGGAATGGAAGCTCCTGGAATCCACGAAACAACTTACAACTCCATCATGAAATGTGATGTCGATATCAGGAAGGATCTCTATGGAAACATCGTCCTCAGTGGTGGTTCAACCATGTTCCCTGGAATCGCTGACCGTATGAGCAAAGAGATCACCGCACTCGCACCTAGCAGCATGAAGATCAAGGTGGTTGCACCTCCTGAGAGAAAATACAGTGTCTGGATCGGAGGATCTATCCTTGCATCCCTCAGCACTTTCCAACAGGTAAAAAAGAAAACTTATTCTGCTTCTTTTTTCTAAGTCTTGAGCTTGAGAGTGAAAATATTGAAATTTGTTTTGGTTATGTGTGTGAAACAGATGTGGATCTCGAAGGGAGAGTACGATGAGTCGGGTCCATCGATTGTCCACAGGAAATGCTTCTAAGGTTCTTCTCTTGTTCGTGGTGGTGAGTTTGTTACCAATCTATTTCCCTAGTTGAGATGGGAATTGAAACTATCTGTTGTTATGTGGTTGTTTTTTTCTCTTTTTTTGGGTCTCTTTAGAACCTTTTGGATGTCTCAAGAGTCTCTGTGTACTTTAGTCTTATCTCTGTTTCTTATTTCTTCTCTTTAGGATGCTTGTGATGATGCTGGTTTTTTTTGTCCTTATTAAGCAAAAAAAATATCATATTATATTTGGTCGTTGCTTCGTTTTTGGGTTTTTTTCCCTATAAATATTGTTTGGATGTCAATTTTCTTTTTCCCCGTTTGGGAACAATATTCAATTTGTATGGGGGCAATTTTTTAAGTATCAGATTGCAATGAAGTTATTGTGTATTGTTATGTGACTTATTATAGCCAACATTCTAGAACGTTCGGTTAACCTGTGAATTTGACAAGGAATCTTAGGACTAAACAAGGAAAAAAAAACGAAATTTGACCTTTTTGACAGGAAAAAAATGCAACAGTTGGAATTTTTGAAAGAAAATGAACGTTTAGAGGTTCTATGGATAACTATTAAATTGCAACAGTTGGAACCAAGGTGTTTTAAAAATTGACAATAGAGTGAATGTGAAAAATTACCTTTAAATCGCTTCTTTCAACCAGTCCAAACAGCCGTCCAGAAAAAAAAAACCCCCAAATTCTACGTTTGGAGTATAGCAATCATTTTCATTGTTATTTTGTAAATGGAAGGAAATGTATATAAATGGTTACGCTTCTGGATTCTTAAAGTATATATAATTTCTTTCAAATCACGAAATGTCTAAAACATCACAATCTGTTTATGTTCCTACCGAGATAATTGTTTGTCCCCACCATTGGAAAGACTTGAAATGGTCGGCCCAACCAAAGCACCTAAATACTTTATTAATCGATACTTTGAGAAAAATTCCATTGACTTTCTCTAACTTTATTGTACACACTTTTGTTCTGTCTACCGAATGATTCGAATCTTCCAGAAACTTTGGGCCATATTTGGGCCAGAACAGCCAATGTCCAATAATTGTTGAACTGAAACTATGGATGTTCAGTACTGTCAAAATGGCCCGAGTCCAACTTAAACCAGTTAAAAAAAATGGAGCTGAAAAATCTCATAACATAAACCAAATCAAATCATACATTTGGATAGCTTATGTGAAGAAAAAGAAGATGGATTCCTTGACAGAGGATCTACGGGAAACTAATACTAGTGAGGTTACCTCTTTAAAATCTTTATACGCAATCCGTGGTTGGTCAAATAAATAATTTTTTCGCGCAAATCCTAACTCGGAAAGTAGCAGAAACATCTGATTGATCAGCACGAACTAAGAAGCTAACAAAAAAAGTGATGAAGCACAAAATACAGAAGACAAGCTGAGTAACATATATGTAAATTCTTTCGCAATAAGATCAATCTAATAAATTATACAGTATTATTGAGCACTCAATTATGTCAATAAATTGTTACAAATATTCCCAAGACAACATAAAAACAATCACTAATCTCCAATTGGAAATAAAAAAAAAATCTCACTAAGAAAAGCCAAAGTGAAGTATAACCTCATATTGTCCCAAGTCAATTGAAATGGCACTGAACAAAACATAAGCAAATTAAAGAACAAAGTTGAAATTTTTCTTGGGAAACAAGCTATCTCTACTTATGGAAATGAATTTGCAAAATAAAGTAGACATTTTCGTAAAGAGGTTTTAGGGTTACTCTGTTCTCTCCAAGACAAATACATTCCCTTTCCCATCCCTCCCTACTTTTAAATCTTCGTCTAAATATCTGCAAAATTCTCAGAATCAAGGAATACAGAGAACAAAAATTAATTAATGTAATTACGTTTCTGGTTTTTAATGAAAAGGATACGAAATCTCAAATAGTCCCTCCGGGTTGAAGATTCCTAGAAGTAGATTCATGTTCTTCCTGAAAATGTTCATCAACTGATTCCAACAGAAATCAACAAGTTTCCCAAACGAGTAAATTTTGTTTTTCTATTAAAAAGAAAAAACATTAATAAAGAAGAAGAAAAAAAAAACACAGACCTGGTCTGGCACGATCGTTGAGCTTTCATAGGTTATCTCAACACTCTACAAATAAACGCAATTCCATCAAGACGCGATTTTTCGAGGAATCTGAAACCATAAACGCACGAAATAGTGTTACTAAAATGTACCGATTTGGATATGATCTTGAAGGAGGCGACGATTCGAAACTCGCCGTCGAGTAGATTCAGTCCCCGGACATCAAATTTTAAGACATGGACCGTTTTGCCCTTCGTTAATTAAAAAAAATTCAGATTAAATTAAACGTCATCACACCAGGAAGCTCGAAGATCTTGTCTGAGTCCGAGATTAATTTACCTGAGCAATGTCGATCTGTTGAAGAAGATCTCCGAGAGAGACGAAATCTCGAAGACCCAACTTGGTTCGTTTAGAACCCAATACAGTGATCGTGCTGTAGATAAGTCTCCAGCAACCTCCGATCTTGTCTAGCTCTCCGGTCGGCTCCGGCGTCGGATTCCGACACTCCAGTAGATTCACCAAACGCTCGATCTCTGCTTTTTTCTCCGACTTTATTCCGAAAATCCCTCTATTGATCCCTTTTCATCCCCAAACAAGTCGTTCTTTGACATATCAGTAAACACAAAAAAAGACAATTTACTCGATGATTGAAGTCAAATTCTACTTTTTGCACCATCTAATGATTTAAACCGAATAAAGTATAGATTTTTTTTTGCTGTTGTGAAAAGGAGTGAAATCTAATTACCTTTGAGAGCTTCATAGAGCTCTTCTTTAATCTGGGAAACTGCAAGAACTTCGTCTTCTTCTTCTTGTTCATTTGGAGAGGAAGCAGAGCTCTGTTCTGGGACTTTTCCGATGAACACGGGTCTGAGACGAAGTGGGTTGTCACTAAAACTCAGCGTTTTGCGATTGAAATTGCTGAAAGAGAGCAACATCTTAGCGTCTCCTGTTCTTCTAGAGATTGCTCCTCGTGAAGCTGCCATTGATGGTGGCTGGATAAGCTTACCCGACATTGCCAGTTGTCACACAGTCGCCAAGGAATCGAATGGAGGGTAAGTGATGATTATTAGGTAAGAAATTGGGATTTGTGGGGGAAGAGAGAGTGAATTTTATGGGGAGGAGAATGAGACAGTTTGGTTATTTTATCTATCTTTTAGCATCTATCAGTCTGTCACCACCATACACTAAGCTCAATATACTCAATATAAAATTAAAATCACAATGTTTATTTCTCTTGTTTTCTATTGTTAATCTTTTTAGCTTTTGATATTTTTCCCCTTTAAATTAACATTTGGGTAGGGGTTATAAAAAGTGTAAAAATTTAATAGGATGCGAGTGTAAAAAACATTAACGTAATTAGATAATTAGAGGTGATTCAGTTGTTTAGACCACTAAATAAATTGTTTTTGAGGAGTTTTGCTTTTTGACCAGATCTGATCGAATAAAGCTACCAGTACCACTAGACAGCGAAACTCGTTTCTATAATAGAGTATTGAACATTTGTACTATTGATGATTTGAATAATAGAGTATGTTTTTGTGCTAACAACAAAAGGTTGTGTTAATAGTTTTGTCAGATAACTTATCGTTGATAAAAAAAACCGTTGTTATTTATCCACTAATTACAATGTATGTAATTAGTATGGTTGTTTAGCTACAACACTTTTATTTTGCCTATCCGGAACCAAAATTTATCATATACCAATTTTGTTCAAAAGTGATTATTCATCTAACGAAGAAAATCACAGATGATCAAAGCGGCACTGTGTCTATATTGTAATAGTCAAATAAATTTGCAAGTAACCACAAAGTATCAAACATGGTCATGCTCTGTTCTTTGTCACAAGGCCTTAAAAACAGAGTTTCAAGCATCTTTGGTTTGAGTTGCAGAGTCTGGTGATGGCTTCCATTGGTGTGGAGTCTGAGCTTTCTTTATGGAGAGAGCATGAATCTCCTTCATTTCTTCTTCAAGTGCAGCATTCACCATACGGTGCCTCTCCAGCAATCTCTTCCCTTCGAATTGTTCAGAGACAACCTCGACTTCAAAACTCGCACCGCAACTGCAAATAGGGTTTAGCTTAAGATTAAGAACGAGAGAGTAGAGACTATGCCCTGATCTAAAGATGTGTGTGGTATTAATAAATTTGTACTTACCCTCCAGATATGTCAATGACTTCCTGTTCCACAAAAAAGAAGAAGATGAGATTCATAAAGCAATTTTAGAGAGAATCGGAACAATTGAATACAAAAGACGATCGAAAAGGGGAACAGGTTGATATTGCATTAAGTTTAACTTCAATATTCAGATCTTGCAAATACATATGCTTGCATCAGAAGCAGTCTTGGATTTGGTTTTGAGTTTCCAATTCACAAACAACAGATAGATATACAATTTTTCCAGACAAGAACATTCAGCTCCTAAGTTAATACATCATGAACACTCCATCGCCGGATTCTGAGTTCGTATCACATTGCATCAAATTACAGCTAACTACGCAAACAAGCACCTTTTATCTTCTGCTTAAGTGCAGAAATAAAACACATCGCGATGGATAATTTCTAAAGATGCAGAGACTACAATACATACCACCATGAATTTAATCTGTGACAATATAGAAGCAAGCATATCTCAAAATCATATTATGATACAGTTATTAAAGTTCAAGGATTAATCGAAGTGAGCAGTTCAAAAATCTGAATTTGCAGATCCATATCTTATCTCTTTCCTAGAGGAAACACAAACATGAGTGTGCGTGCGCGCCAATTTAAGATATTTACTCAGACGATCAGTGTTTCTAATTTTCTCCAAAAAGTGTTAGAAAAAAGTAGAAACTTTGCGAAGAAAAAGTTGAAAGAAGACCAAATCAATAGATGAAAATGAAAGAAGAAAACTCACGAGATGAACAGGCTTGAGTTTCGAAGTCAAGGAAGCTTCGACTTGCTCCTTCGACACCCCCATCTCTCTCTCTCTCTCGCTCTGAAACAATGTTTGCTACAAAGTACAAACCCTAATTACTTATCCAATTAGAATAAAACCATTTGGTTTAGCGACAGTTCGGTTTAGCTTGGTTCATTTTTCAGTTGGGATTCGGTTTTCAACAAATAAAAAATAAACAATTAGGGTTTAAGCACTGCTTTTGCTTCCCTGTATTCATCTACACTCCTAAAACCCTGCCACTGAGGAGTCTCTCCATTTTCGATTTGATCTCCGGAGCAAAATCACTTCTCCGACCATGAAATTAGGATTTCTACCGTCTAAATCTCTCCTCTTCCACCTCTCTTCTTCCTCCACCGCCCAATCTCCCCGTCGAGCGATCGCCGTTTTCGTCAATAACTTTCAATCCTCTACATTTTCCACCACCACTGCCTCCGGCTCCGGATCCAGCCATTCTTCTTCGAGGCGTTCTCATAACGACGAAGATTCGCGATCTGTTAGGGTTTCGGTGTGGTGGGACTTGGATAAATGTAATTTGCCGGTGGGTGCCAAAGTCTTCAAAGTAGCGCAATACATCACCGCAGCTATCAGAAACAGCGGAATCAAAGGTCCGATCACAATCACAGCCTTCGGCGACGTTTTTCAGCTCCCCAGATCAAACCAAGACGCTCTCTCCGCTACCGGAATCAGTCTCTCTCATGTTCCTCAAGGTTCGTTTTTTTTCCAGAATGTTAGTATCAGTTTCTGTTTTAGCGAAAGCTTTATCATTTCTCTTCGATTCTCTCTCAGGTGGGAAGAACAGTGCTGATAGATCTCTGATTACGGATCTAATGTGTTGGGTTTCTCAGAACCCACCTCCAGCTCATCTCTTCCTAATCTCTAGCGACGAGGAATTCGCAAGTGTGTTGCACAGATTGAGGATGAGCAACTACAACATTCTGCTCGCGAGCAAATCATCTGCTCCTGGTGTTTTGTGTAGTGCTTCTTCGATTATGTGGGATTGGGATGCTTTGATCAAAGGAGATAATGTCACTGGTAAGTACTTTAATCAGCCTCCAGATGGTCCTTATAACTCTTGGTATGGTCACTATAGGGTTCCTCTTCTTGACCCATTTGCAACCACCACCACTGACCAATCGTCTAGTGTGAAAACCGAAGAAGTGTCCGAGTCGATTTCCGATTCGGAATCGAATTCTGTCAACGTTCGTCCTATCCCAAAAGAAGTTGTTGACAAGATTCGTCTGATATTGAGCTTATATCCCAAAGGGGCACCCCTTTCCGAGCTACACGCTGGGCTGATTAAGAGCAACTTGGCAATAGATAAAGACTTCTATGGACATAAGACGTTCTCTCGGTTTCTACTATCCATGCCAGATCTCTTTCAAGTTAATACAGCAAATGATGGCTTGTTTGTTGTTCGTGCTGTCACCGAAATAGCAATTCCTACGCGAATTGATTCCAGTCCTGGCTTGTCTATTGCCGTTGATCAGAAGGTTAAAGAGAAGGAAACTGCAAATGCTTCATCGCCAAAACCAACGAACGATGTGGAACTTGCTGCTGAAAGAAGAAGAGGTGACTCGCTTGGAAAGAAGCAGGAAAATGTAATGGAGAATGATAAACATGTCAAAGAGAAAGCGCCAGAGAGTTCCCAAGAGTCAATTCTGGTCAACCAGAAGGAGGACGTTAAGGCAAATGACAATCCCGTGGAGACGAATCAAGTCTCTCTTATAGCGGGGAGTGAATCTTCCATGAAAGGTGGCTTTTTTCAGAAGCTAAAAAGGCTGTGGTCTGGTTCACCTGAGATGGAATCAGAGCATCTCCCAGAAAACAAAAGTGGGGACAAGGACGACGGGGTTATTAATGATGACAAGGCTGAGGATAAGGACTTAAAATCATCAAGACAGGGAACTGATCCCATGTCTCAAATCTCAACTTCCTGTACTAATGAACCTGCAGAGGAGGTAAAAGCTGGAAGTTATGTAGTAGGAAATAATGATAAAAATGCAAGTCCAGGCTTTTTTAGTCAACTTCTGAAGAATTTCAAGTTCTGGGGAAGAAACACAGGGCTTTGCAATGACCCGAGTGGGAATCAGAAGCTGGTTGATGTTGGTTCTCAAGTGCATGACATTTTTGCAGAAGAATCTTCTTGGAGCGATGTTAAATCTTTCATTAATTCTCCAAGAGGCTTCGTTATTGTTTCCCACTCAAGGACAAGGTTCTTACATTCTCTGCCTTTTGATTTGGAAGGAGGGTGAATTTGATATTAATTACTATGTATATCTATTTTAGATTGAGAACAATTACAATTGGTTCTTGCATTAGCCATTGTTCTTGTCTTTCAAGGACGAGTATTTAGCTAATATTGTGTTCTCTTTCAACCTGTCAGGGAAATGATGGCTAAGAATCTGCAGAGGGAAGGGCCTTCGTGTCTCAAACTGCTCGATGAGTCAAGCATGCTTCATTTAGTTACCTTATTAATATCAGATAAGAAATGGATTGAAGAAAACCCCTCTTCTTCCCTACCATTCAGCATCATCAAAGGGTCTAGCATTAGCCACCGTCATCCTTCAAACGGTTTGAGCTCAATATTCTCGGATTGTACGAAATCACAGTTGCAGAAACAAGACGGTGAGAAAAGGTTTAAGAACGTTGCTCATGCTGGAGTTTCTCTTGGTTACAAAAGTACTGCAATTGCTGACTGTCAGAAGCTGATAAAGAAGATAACAGAGAAAAACCCTGAAGGGTATAACCTTATTCGTTTCAGAAAAGACTTCTTGGAGGAATACGGATACCATTTAGCGGTTGACAAGCTTGGTCACGAAAACCTACAGTCTCTGGTACAAGCAATGCCTGGAGTGAGAATATCATCTGGATACATTCTTCCTTCAACTTCTTCACCAGGTGCCAAGTCTACAAAAGAAGATGAGTCCGACTTGTCATTTGAAGAACTCGGTCCTGTTTCTGATGCAACAGCTAACCACCAGACGACCAAAAAGCTTCCAGTGTATGAACCCTCTCTTTCGGAGGATGAAGATTCTGGTCCAGAGAGAGACAGCCCGAAGAAAAAGAAGCAAGTGATGAATGGGGAAAATAAAGATAGCTCGCTATTGCAAATTCTGGATTCTTATTACACAAGCAAAGATGAGGAAGTTAAGAAGGAGAAACCAGAGGAGAGAAAGCTTGTGAACAATGTTAGGAAGTCAAAGCCTTCAAAGACGTATTCTTTTGTTAAAGATTAAGAAGTCCAGTAAGTCCGATAGTGTTTCTGCCGGGAAATTGAGTGTTTAGCTAAATTTTGGAAGTCGGTTTGAGGTTTGGTCTATGGTAAACGGAATCCGGTTTACGAGAAATAAGGTCAAATCGGTTCAAAGTGTAATTTAGTTTCCATGAAGATTTCCTTATTTAATCTAATAGCATACTACCAGTTGCTTGCATTAATTGGTAGTTTATATTTTGTGATTTCTTACTTAAATATCACGTTGTTTCCAAGAGGTATTTAACGTTATTATATGGACCATGTAGATTGAGTGATCATTAATTAAACATATATTTCGATCGTAACAACTTCGAGAGATTAAGACGATGATGGCATGCTTTTGGTTATAAGTAGGTGTTAAACACGTCAACAAACCCTAAGAGATTGAGTGATCATATATTTTTTTTTGTAAAATGTTACCTGTTCATAAACCTCTTCGAAAAAAAATCTGTTTCTGTCACTTAAATAAAAGAAATAAAAGCAATGGAAAAGTTTGAAATGAATTTGTGGCGTACATGTGTGGAGTTGCTTGGTGGATTATATTTGCCACTTGAGTCTTCTCAATGGACACTTGACTAAAAAACACATCAATAAAAGTACTTAAAAATGGATATAGAAAGAAATTTAATCCAGTTATTTAAGCGTAATTTTGTCTTGTTCCCTTAAAGTTCGCCAATATTAATTATTTATTAACCCTCCTGTATAAATATTTTAATACAACAATTAAACGAAACAGCTCATGCGTATCCACTATGAATCGGTCAAAAAGATAATAAAAATGTGCCTCATTCATCATAAGTTCATAACGGGTCTCAAGGCTATAGCACAAAGTCAAAAAAAAAAAAATCGTTTGTTTTTTTCTGTTTCGATTTCTTAAATCTAAAAGATAAGCTCGACACAAATTTACATTTTTCTCATTACTCACCCAAATGTTATGGGAGATTGGAAATATACCCCAAATTTTGTTCTGGTACTCATTGTAAACCTAAAGAGTAAAAACTAGTAAACTACTTTACAAGATTGATCCGTTAATAAAAATGGAATTTACATTGACTCGAATTAGTAAATATTTCCTGCAAACCGTGAATCTGCACGAAAAAAACAAACAGTCAAATATTTAGATATAAATAGGCATCAAGCAAAAGAAACAATTCCTAAGAAACTTCATTTGATTTTCTTTAAAGAACTAGATACAAGCATCATTGTGTAAAAACACAAATATGGTAACCTTGATTTTTCCGAATCTATTATTCATAAAATCCATGAAAATTATGTTCTTTATCAGAAAAAAATAATAGTAGTAAACAACAAAATGGAAAACAAGTGTACCCACCAACTTAATTCCAACATTTTTTTTAGATTTCACTGTTTTCTTCTTGTGTCTAAAAAACAGAGCTTTGTTCCCTGTCTTTTTTCTTTCTCTTCTTCCTCGTATGACTCAACTCTCATCATCTTTTTCAATTTACCAGTGTCTACCGCCTTGAGAACTACCGCCTTTTCTTGGAAAAAATCCACCTTTCTTAGGTTTAGGGATCTCATGAATGTCCATCACCTGTATAGTCCTTTGCTTTTTAGCTGGAGTCAAGACATAAAAAAACGCCGTCAAGAAACGATTCAATTGAGTAGAGATCTGAAACAAAAACCGAAGAGGATTGATTGAGTTTAAAACCATTCTCGGCTTGTCTGTAGTTTTGTTGTAGTCTTTTCCGGGCTGAGTCGAAATCAACTTCTTTATGCTCTTTATCCCTCTGTAGTTACCAAACCAAATTCATCACAATTGGCATAATATAAACGACTTGAACACCAATATGAGGATCCGGTTTGGCAATGTACCTGTATGGTTTGTTGAGAAGGAGAAGGACGAGATGGTTTAGCTGGAGAAGGAGATTCTCTCCTAGTTGGAGGAGCAATAGGTCTTGGTTTCCTCTCTGGCTCGGCATAGTTACTGTTCTTGCTTGAACCAGAATACCCATCTGATGAAAACCGGAAAAAAGAATAAGCTTTATGGAATCAAGTGTTATGATCCAAGCTTTAAGAATTCTTGTTCAATAACTTACTCTGAGGAACAGGTGAATACCCGAAGTCAGGAACCTGCCACATTTAAAAGAGAGAACACATGAAGCTCAATGGCTAACCAAGAAACAAACAGGGCTTCGGCTTTAGTTACCTGTTGGCGATTACCATTATGGAGAGCTTTCTGCTGCGGTGAGTCCTCATCGGCTACAATGAAGAGATTGATTGTTCTGAGGTTTAGTTGTAGGGGAAGATAAGAATGATGCTTGTTCTGAGTTTCTTTTTACCTATCAAACTTGGAGGCTCGAGATCACCAGGCTGGTTAAATTTGACCCATTCGTCCACTGTTTCTTTCCATTTTCTGCAGAGACAAAAGTAGAAGTGAATTAGAAATCAAGGGTGGTTCTTGATAGTTGAATTCGAGCAGAAGATGTTTCTGAAAATGATCGTAACTTGACAAGCTGTTTAGCTAATCTCCGAACATTGTTCGATGGATGCTTCCGAACTCGATTCACATGCCTCCCAATATCAGTTTCCTAAAGTGACCAAACATCATAAAATCTCAAAAAACTATGAAACAACTGGAGAATCAAGAGAGTCTTCTATTCGAATTTCTTTCAAGTGACTACCTGAAGAGCTTGGAATGTTATGTCCATATCTTCCAGATTCTGAAGCAACTCAACCAAAGCTTCTTCGGACTGAAACACAAACAAGCAATTCAGTCTCTAAAACTGAAATCGAACACAAGAGAAAAATCTAGATCCAAGAGAGGTCTTTTTGTAAAAACCAGATCAGGATCTTCAAGTCTCTCCTTGATTTCAAGAATACTCTTCTGCTCATCATCAAACAAACCAGCAAACGGATCGAAATCGTCATCGTCGTCACCATTAACAGATTTCTCTCTAACTTCTTCTTCAGCTGCTTCTCCTTCTTCCTCCTCCGTCTCCTCATGAATCCTCCCGTTAACCCTAGCAACCGCCGCCTCCGTAACGATTCCTCCGCTGCCGAAATCGCAGTTTCTACACTTGTTCGCCATCGAAGTCGCGTAGAGACGCTCCACGATGTTATCTCTCCGCCGCTTCAGCTCTTGGCCGTAATCAAGCGACGCGACAAGGATCGCTGTATCTATAAATGTCCAAACATCGACACCTGCGTTGTCCATAATCGACCGGAAATCGTCCAAATCCATTCCCGCCGCAACAAAATTTCTCACCCACTCTCCCAAATTTAGTTTCTTTAAATAATCAAAAACAGAGCAGCCGATTTGGTATTACATCACCAGATCTAAAACAACAATCGTTTGATGAATTCGATTCATCGGAGGATTGAAAATCGAAAAAGAACTCAGCAAGGATTAGATTCAATCGTTTAAAGATAAAAATAATAAGAATCGGATTAAATCCGATAAAAGGAAGACCCTTTCGAGTTTTGATGACGCTGTACTGTTACGAGGAAGAGAGAAAAGAAAAAAAAAACAGAAACAGAGGTCACATAGATCAATAAGGTAATGGCAGAAGAAAGAAAAAAAGGAAGATGAAAGGGAATATTCCAAATTTGAGGCTTTAGAATTTGTTTTGGGGGTTATTGCTTTCCCTTCATTCTTCTGCAAGTTTTTTTTCCCCGTAAAAATATTCTTCAGACAAAACAAATTACAAGTAAAAAAAAAAAAAGGGACTTGCTTTAATCAGGATGCTCTTGCCCTGGACAGAGCAAAGCAAAGCAAGTTGGTTTGTTGTGGTTGGGGAGATGAATAGCTAGAGCCTAGAGAGAGGTTAAAGAGAGGTGAGAGAGAGGTGAGAGAGAGGTGAGTGTTTTTCAATAATGGCGTTTACTTTTTTAGTTTTTTTTTTTTAATTGGAGAGAAAACGGAAATTGAAAATTAAATACAATGTTTACACACTTTAGTTAATGGGTGTACGAAGTTCGGGCCCAAAATAAGTGGATACAAAACAAAAAAAATTGAAAAAATAAATAAAGAAACAAAATACATATTTACACACTTTGGTTAGTGGACCTGCAGTTATTAAGCCCAAAATAAATTATTATAAGGGTCTTTTTTAAGGGTCCACCTTGTCCCTTTTGATTAATTAATTGGCAAACTAACTTATTTGGTTTGTACTTGTCAGTTGTCAATTTGTCATTGTAATTACACTTATAGCCACTTAAACTTGGTCATAACTTGTGATTAATTGTGCTTTGAATTTATGTTATCACATGACTTGTCGTTGTTGATCTAAAGCTAGCCGAAAGTAAGGAATTGAACCTAGATTAAGCCTCAAAATTATCACAAAACTGAGTGTTTTCTCCATCGTTAAAAATGTCCAAACATAGACAAATGGATTTTAGCCATAATCGACCGGAAAACGCCGGAAATGTTTCACACCCACGGAAAGCCACATGTGACCGGTTTATCTCGCAAATTTCATCATAAGATATAATTTATACTTTTTTACATGATAAGAAGAAATAAACCTAGGCCCTGAGAAGTAGGCCCATTAAGAAAAAAAAAGGAAATAAATTTTGGACCTAGATTAGTTCTTCTCTTCTTCTTTCTCTCCTTCCTTCAAGTTTCGCATCCGCTTAGACTGTCGCAGTGTTTAATTCCGGCGACTCATAGTCCCCAGCCGCTCGTCAAAGCCTTCGCCGTGATTGTTCGCCGACGGAAAGTATCCCGTGTTGGTGTTATCGGTAAATTCCTCTTTATTGATCCCTTTCTCCGACGACAATCAATATATACATTTTATTTCTTTTGGGGATGAAGAGGTTTCTTTTCTCAGTTTGCAGGCAAGCAATTGAAGTGTACGCTTGTTCATTAAGAATGGTATTCTACGACCTTTTTTTATTGTGCTCAGTTAGCACTGACCCTATGGCACCATATTTATAGATTTCGATTAGAAAACGCCTTACGGTGTTTGATTTGTGCTTCTTCTCAGGATGCATTTAGAGATGCTATACTGCAGCGAGGTCCAATCGAAAGCTTTGCACTCAAGACTGTTCAAGAGTTTATACAACCACAGGTAATTTTGAGCTGTTTGTTGTGTGTGAGCATCGACTAAATAGTTTTTTTTTTCAATTTTGAGCTGGTTGATTCTATTTGTAGATTTTTGATATAATTGTTACTTGGTCTCACTGTTTTTGTTATCTAATCTGACAGAAACAAACAAAGTTGGCCCAAGATGAGAACCAAATGCTTGAAAACATGCTCCGGACGTTGCTGCAAGAGCTTGTGGTCTGTTGTGTTTCTCCACTATATATTCTTCGTGGTACGCATATGCTTGTTGATCTAGTCATTTGATTCTTTTTTGCTGTTTGGCATTCTCTTTGTGTTCCAGGCTTCTGCTGCGCAATCAGGAGAGCAAATAATGCACTATGGTCAGTTGATTGATGATAATGAAGATATACGTGGCCAGATTCCTCATCTTCTAGGTTAGCAATTTATTTAAGAAAATTTTTCTTTCTAGTCTTATTTGCATAGCTCATTATCAGGTGCAAGTGTGTGCCCCGTAAAACATCTTATTCTCATATAGTCTATTATGTCTATTGCTCATCATCTCGTGATTTTGGCTGACTACTTTTGCCCAACCTCTCACCATCTTCTTGTTCTTTTTTTTTCAATTGGTTTGTTAGATGTTGTGCTTTATCTTTGTGAGAAAGAGCATGTAGAAGGTGGCATGATATTTCAGCTGCTGGAGGATTTGACGGAAATGTCTACCATGAAGAATTGCAAAGATGTTTTTGGCTATATTGAAAGCAAACAAGACATTTTGGGCAAGGTATGTCTTAGATGAAATAAAATTTGTCATCCTTGTGTTAGTTGCATGGGTATCTTGTCTTTTGACTTTGATGCTATTTGCAGCAAGAGCTTTTTGCACGCGGAAAACTTGTAATGTTGAGGACTTGCAACCAACTTCTCCGGCGACTCTCAAAGGTTTGTCATCACTCCCCCTTTTCTTGTTCCTTGTCAAACTTATTTTAAGCCATAATCCGCTTTTTGAGTTATAACACTTCCATTCTTTGTTAATTCCTTTTCTGCTTCAACAATCTTGCATACAGGCTAATGATGTGGTATTTTGTGGAAGAATTCTCATGTTTTTGGCTCACTTTTTTCCGTTATCTGAGCGCTCAGGTAATAAGTCTTTCTCGTAATTTATTGCATATAGGATTTTTGTATGCAAATATTTAGAAGTTGTGTAACGTTTACTTGCTTGACTTGTTCTTGCAGCTGTGAATATAAAAGGTGTTTTTAATACATCTAATGAAACTAAATATGAAAAAGATCCTCCAAATGGCAAGTACAACTCTTATCTAATGGTTTCTGCTCCCTATATCGATTAGACTATTCTAATACGTGTTATTCCTTCTGTCTATGCCACTGGTTATCAGGAATTTCTGTAGATTTCAACTTCTATAAGACATTTTGGAGTTTACAGGTATGTGTTAGACAAAGGAACTTTGTAGGGAACTCTGTTCATATGGGTTGTCTCACAGAACTTATGCTTGCTTATCATACAATATCTTTTACTGGAGATGGCATCGGAGTTTTCTTTTTGTTAGTTAATTAAATGGGGTAATGCTTCCTTTATTGAAAAAATTGTTTCACTTCCAGGAATATTTCTGTAATCCCGCTTCTCTTACTTCCGCAACTACCAAGTGGCAGAAATTTTCATCTAGTTTGGCGGTATGTGATCTAATGTTTTTGCCTATTTGGCCTATAATGCACTACGTGGTCTCTTACCTATGTATATATGTACAGCATAGAGCAGTCATGCCGGTGGTAATGAGAAATCTTTTTGGACCTTGTTTCTTGAACTGCATGTGCAGGTTGTATTAAACACTTTTGATGCTCAACCACTAAGCGAAGAAGAGGGAGAGGCTAATAGTTTGGAGGAAGATGCAGCAACTTTTAATATAAAGTACCTAACAAGTAGTAAATTAATGGGTTTAGAGGTAAGTATGATGTGAATAGAAACACACACACACACATGTATATTCTATATTGTATCTAGCTGTGTAGAATGCATTTGAGATGTGTTGAAAACTTGAAATACAATACAAACTTCTGAACGTAGCAGTTAACACACTTTTTTCACTTTTGTTTACAGTTAAAGGATTCGAGTTTCCGACGACATATTCTTCTCCAGTGCCTCATTCTGTTTGATTATCTGAGGGTACATGTCTCTCAAGAATCGTATCTTAAATTACTCCCTCTCTGGTATTCTGTTATAATCGACTCTGGTTTCGTGTTAGGCTCCAGGGAAGAATGACAAAGATATGCCATCTGAAACCATGGTCAGTGTTTTTGCTTTTTCGATGAGTAAATGTTCTCTTCTTGGTTTCAAGGGTTGCCAAACCTTGCTTATAACTGAGTATACGGGTTTTATGCAAAATCACTCAAAACTATGGTTGGATTATCTTTTTGGCCTAGAAGGAGGAAGTCAAGTCATGTGAGGATCGCGTAAAGAAATTGCTTGAGATCACTCCGCCTAAAGGGAAAGAGTTCCTCCGTGCAGTTGAGCATATACTGGAGCGTGAAAAGAATTGGGTATTTGTGCTGCCTTCTCTCTTACTTTCTGGCTTGAAGCCAAGGGTCGATAATGATTTCTACTGTAACAGGTGTGGTGGAAACGTGATGGATGTCCACCATTTGAGAAGCAACCGATAGAGAAGAAATCACCTAACGCAGGGCAAAAGAAACGGTATGGGAAAAGCTGATTTTAGTATTTAACCGCTTCTTTCTCATGTACCTAGGTGGTGTCAGCTATTAGAAATTTATTTAGAATACTTTAGGTGCAAAAAATTGATAGGAAACGAGTTATCTCTAAGCTTTCTGCCTGGTGATCTCTAGTCCATTAGAAGTGAGAAGTAACTAAGAAATCTGAATAAGAGTATTAAGCTCCACGTGGGTTATCTTTTACTCTTACAGGAGGCCAAGATATAGATTGGGCAATAAAGAACTCTCCCAACTTTGGAGATGGGCCGATCAAAATCCGGTATGTATTCTTTTTCTTGCATCACTGTGCGTTGTTATCTTGATGCCACATACTTTTCCTACTCTCTCCTTCTCAAATATCGTTTGCTCGCCAATTTATGTCTCTGCAATTATTGTATCTCTGATCATGTCAGAATGCTCTGACTGATGCTCAACGTGTACGAACCCCTGCCATTGCAGACTACTGGAAGCCATTAGCAGAAGATGTAAGACGACAAAACATTTATTTTTTTGGTAACAAAATATAACATTTCTCCGAAATGGTTAATGTCTTATCAGCCCACTTGCGTTTTTATTAAAATCTCAGATGGACCCAGCAGCTGGTATAGAGGATGAATACCATCATAAAAACAACAGAGTATATAACTTTCCTCTGACTTCAACTTTATTTTTTAATATGACTTTGAATCGCTACTGTCTTGAAAGGTTTACTGCTGGAAAGGTCTTCGGTTTACAGCTCGGCAAGACCTGGAAGGATTCTCTAGGGTACTTGCTTCTTATGACTCGTAAACTCTAGTTTCTCAATGCTCGATGTGATTGGCTTTTATAACTATATTAGTTTGTTTTTTACAGTTTACTGAACTAGGAATCGAAGGAGTTGTCCCTGTTGAACTATTGCCACCTGAAGTCCGGTCCAAATACCAAGCTAAACCGAATGACAAAGCGAAACGTGCTAAGAAAGAAGATACCAAAGGAGGATCTCAAGAAGCAGAGGGCCAGATTGGTGTTTCTTATGGTGAAGCTGAAGCTGAAGGAGGAAGAGGCGAAGCAGAGGCGATGGAGAGTGATGCAATTGCAGACACTCCTACTCCTGAAGAACAACAAAGATTAGGTGGGTCTGACACTGACAACGGGCAAGAGGCCGGCCAAATCGAAGACGCGGAGACAGAAGAAGCCGGTTTGATGGAGACTGATCTTGATCATCCTCCTATGCCTGTCTCATGAATAAGCTTTCAATTTTTGAACCCTTTCTTAAAGGGTGAATCCTTTGGATATAAAGTTATAAGTGAATTGATGCTTATGTGATAGTGTCTCGATTAAACTTTAGATTTATTGTGACATTAAGACTGTAATCATAAAAAAAAAAAACAAAAAATGTCTTTCTTCAAACGTAGTCAACTCGTTTTCTTAATTTTTGGAGTATTGTTGGAAACTTCCGAAGAGTTATCAGTGACCTCACGTCTTAATAATTATAAATTAGATCCAACAGCCGCCAGTAATATTTGTCTATATGCTTGTTGGTCTATTGATTGATTATCAAAAAATCAGATAATCTGACAATTATTTTTTTCAAAATGTTTGCTCTATGGGTTGGTAATTCAGCTCGTTTTTATGTGTATACCAATGTGAAATCTAGATCAGATCATCTTCTTTTTTATCTCATCTATGAATTCGTCGTGTTTACGGAAATATATAAAACGTAAATTAGACAAGTCCAAGGGATTAGAAAACATAATATTCATAACATAGTCATACCGTTTTAGTTAATTTACGTAATCTATCGTCTAAATGTAACAATAAACAGTAAACGCATACAAAAAACAATCATTATGCATTTGATTCAATCGCAATTTAGTAATAAGTACAAACTTAACAGAACAAAAAATCAAATACTAAAGGGACCTAAAGCTAAAACTATCAGTCTCGCTATTATTAACTAATAAACCAAATTCTATGGTTTCGCCATCAATTTTTATAATAGAAATGTGTGGTTTCAAGTCATGTCACGATTTAAGCTCATAAACACCACCAATCTCTATCTAATAAAGCTTCATCATGCACAGTATATCCATATTTAATCATACTCCAACTTGCATATTATATTCAATATGTTGTTCTCCAAATCGATTTAAACTGATTTGATTATGTTTTTACCCCCAATCACTGAAAAGAGAACAACTAACTCTTAATAGTTATATATTATTTTGTTTGGTCGTCGTCAATGCAAATCAGATCATTTTATCAATTTAACCCTACATTATTAAGTAATAATATGTTTGTTTTAAGGTAAGTTACACTATTAATATGTTGCTGCACTGTCAACTATCACAGTTGTCTTATAGTCGTTGACTCGTTGCACTGTAATAATTTTTTTTTTTTTGGTCGACTCGAATTGAAACAAAAGAATAACCATGTTAATAAATCGGTGCGATAATGAGGCGACGACGAGACAAAAAGATGTTTGTGGTTGTCAACGATAGAGGAAAAATTATAGTAAAACATTAGTCATATTCCAGTTCGTATTAACAAACATACGATATTTTTGGTAAATACAACATGCTTTTTTTTATCCATTTTCCCGGAAACAAAAAAAATGTGGCACCGACAGTTTATAATACTAAAAGGAGCAAGTGGCCCAATAATTTGGAAAAAAATAGTTCATATAACGCTTTCCATTCTAACATGGAATGTGACATGTGATGTTTAAACCTACTTATAAGGAAGTAATAAAGTTGTGACTTCATCTTTTTATTCTTGTAATTTCAACTTTAGTTTTAAGTTAATAATGTCATATACGTATGTTTTTTTGTCTTAGCTTATTTATCGAGTGTCGGCAAATGTATACATATGAGTGTATAGGTGTATATATGTAAGGTGTGACATGATAGTCTCAATAATTGCACATAGTTAATAGTTCTCTAGTACCATTTTCTTATGGTCAACAGTACACTAAATTTTAAATGCAAACAGGAGAAAAAACAAATGGGAGATCTGGTGGGTGAATACAATTTAAATTAGTGATATCTTTATATCTAGGCAATTCTGAAATTGTGTTGGGTATATAGGGAAGAGTTAATGAATAGAATTAGGAAATTTAAGTCTTTAATAAGGTAAGGGAATGAAACCATTGGTATAAACTATAAAAAGAAAAACACCTTGGGCATTCAGGTCGATAAAAAAATTACTTTACAGTATAAAACATGGTTAAAAGTTAAAACCAATGCGGTCAACGTATGATGTAATTAAAATTATGAAATGGTCTCTGCAATATAGTATAATTAAATTTGTAAAATCGTTTCGGTCTAATGTTTGACCAATAATATATGGGATCCAAAAATTTATTGTTTCTACATTGAATGTGGTTTAAACCTTTGAAAAAAATTTGTAGATACAGAGTTTTTAATTGTAATTAGAATGTAGAGTAATTCTTACCGAAGAATGAACACAAGGAAATAAATGTAAGGGGTGATCCAAAGTTTACCCAATATATGTATATGACTTTTCCTTTCCCGAGAAAGACCAGCAAAGTCATTACTAGTAATTGTTTTCTTACGTCAATTTAGTAATCAAATTTGTCCGTCGGTTAAATTCTGATTTTACGTTCTCGTTCTTCTTTTAGCATTTACTACGATTTACCAATATTATTTAGTCAATGGCCAACTCAGACAATGGAAGTGGAGGACAGAGAGAGAGCGCCAAGCGAAGCGACACACTTTGTATGGGTCCCACACTATAAATATATATATATATATATATATATATATATTTTTCCGACTTGTTATTATTATTATTTTTTTTATAACTCCGGTTTCTTTTTCTAATTTGGTAGTTAAAAGACTTGAATTAGCTTGCACTTACACTAGTTGATCTCTCTTCTGTCCGTGTCTCTCTCTCTCTCTCTTCGTCTTCTTCATTACGCGTCTTCTTCTTGTTCTTCATATTCCACATCTGCCTCCTCCTCTTTAATTATCAACAGCTCTCCTCTCACTATCTATCGATTTCTCTTATTTATTGTTTAACTTGCGTGGACACATTTGGAGAACCAAACCCCAAAACAAAAAAGAAGAAGGAAAAGCTAGCATATAGCAAAGCTGATTTCAACCAAACACCTTCTTCACACGGCTTCCCTCAATTTTTTTTTTTTTACCAAAAAGTTTCTTCATTGCTTTGATATAAGCTGAGAAACCTCACTCACAATCCTCTGAGATTCGTCTGTGAAGCTGCTTATTGCATGTTTTGATGGGAGCTGAAACGACTGGATCTCTCGAGACCGAGTTGGGCTGAGTTGACCCGGGATTGTCTCTCTCTGTTTTTCGATATTGCGTGTCCGTGAATTCGTCATTCTATCGACTTTGTCGGAAATATGAATACTGGTGGTCGGCTCATTGCCGGTTCTCACAACAGGAACGAGTTCGTGTTAATTAATGCAGACGAGAGTGCCAGAGTAAGATTACACACACAAAATTGAAGCTTGTCGCTCTCTCTCTCTCTCTCTCTCTCTCAAAATCTTTGTTTTCTGCTATTGATGTGAACCCATTGTTTCGATTTCATTGTTCCGTGTAAAGGTTTTGCCTTTTTTTCTTCTTCTGAATCTGGGTTTTCCCAAATAAGGTTTTCCCATCGAAATCTAGATTCCGAAATTTCTTACCTACTTTTATCAAAATGTACAGTGGAAGTTTTTGTCGGTGGGGATTGAATTCTGAGTGTAAATTCGCCAACTTGAAGCCACAGATTTAAAAACTGTGCATAAAAGAACAAAATTTTGAGTTAATTGATAGTGGCTCTTGTTTTTCTGATTGAGTGAGATACATTCTGTTCTAATTCAATTTGCTTTAGATAAAATCAGATGTATTGCTTTCTGATGTGTAACTTACTCATATTACAGATAAGATCAGTGGAAGAACTAAGTGGGCAGATATGCCAAATATGTGGAGATGAGATAGAGCTGACAGATGATGGAGAGTCTTTTGTGGCATGTAATGAATGTGCTTTCCCTGTCTGTAGACCTTGCTACGAGTACGAGAGAAGAGAGGGAAACCAATCTTGTCCTCAATGCAAAACCCGTTACAAGCGCATCAAAGGTGACTTTCAACTGTTTTCAATTGGGTCTAAAGCTTTAGTTGTTAACTTAACGGATGAGGATTATAAAGAAGTCTGTGATTGTTTTCAGGGAGTCCAAGGGTTGAAGGAGATGAAGAAGATGATGGAATTGATGATCTTGATTTTGAGTTTGACTATAGGAGTGGCATTGGATCTGAACAGGTCTCTGACACTTTCTCTCGCCGCAACTCAGAGTTTGATTTGGCTTCTGCTCCACCTGGCTCTCAGATTCCATTGTTGACTTATGGAGACGAGGTTGGTTCATATTTTCCCACAACTACTTTCACTTTTACACTTTGTGTTGTATTGCCTACTAAATGCTCTTATCCTGGCTCATTTCGTTTGGTTGTTTTTGTAGGACGTTGAGATATCTTCTGATAGACATGCTCTTATTGTTTCTCCATCACCTGGTCATGTCAATAGGTTTCATCAAGCGCCTTTTGCTGACCCGGCCGGTAAGTTTTGTTTTTTGGTTTGCGTAAAGTATTCGATTTTCTTTTATTCTTTTCTGCTGCGGTTACTAAGTTAGTGGTTTGTTCTGTCACAGCACATCCAAGACCAATGGTACCTCAAAAAGACCTTGCGGTTTATGGATATGGAAGTGTCGCGTGGAAGGATCGAATGGAGGAATGGAAGAGAAAGCAGAACGAGAAATTTCAGGTGGTTAAACATGACGGAGATTCTAGTTTTGGCGATGGAGATGATGCTGAAATCCCCATGTAAGACTTTCCGAAAATAAAGGCACAGTCTTTTGTCATGTTTCATTGCTCTGCTTTGGTATTTATGAGGTTTTCTTGTGGTCTTTTGTTTTAGGATGGACGAGGGAAGGCAGCCTCTGTCTAGGAAAATACCGATAAAGTCAAGCAAAATAAACCCGTACAGGATGCTAATCATTCTCCGTCTAGTGATTCTCGGTCTCTTTTTCCATTACCGTATTCTTCACCCCGTCAAAGATGCTTATGCCTTGTGGCTAGTATCCGTGATATGCGAGATATGGTTTGCGGTTTCATGGGTTCTTGATCAGTTCCCTAAATGGTATCCTATAGAGAGAGAGACATACTTGGACCGGCTTTCGTTGAGGTACGAGAAAGAAGGGAAACCGTCAGAACTAGCTGGTGTAGATGTCTTCGTGAGTACAGTGGATCCCTTGAAAGAGCCTCCGCTTATCACAGCAAACACTGTTCTGTCTATTCTTGCGGTTGATTATCCGGTAGACAGAGTTGCTTGTTATGTCTCTGATGACGGTGCTGCTATGCTTACTTTCGAAGCACTCTCAGAAACTGCTGAGTTCGCAAGGAAATGGGTTCCTTTCTGTAAGAAATACAACATCGAGCCACGTGCTCCTGAATGGTATTTTTGCCACAAGATGGATTATTTGAAGAACAAAGTCCATCCTGCATTTGTTAGGGAGCGCCGAGCCATGAAGGTTTGTTCTTTCTTGCTCCTTTTAAAATACATAAATTTCCTGAGTATGGACTATACCCTTTTTAATAGAATTGCCTTTTCTTTTTCTTGGTTACAACAGAGAGATTATGAAGAGTTCAAGGTTAAGATCAATGCTTTAGTTGCGACTGCACAGAAAGTGCCTGAAGAAGGCTGGACTATGCAAGACGGTACTCCGTGGCCTGGTAATAACGTGCGGGATCATCCCGGAATGATCCAGGTGAGATGCTTTGAGACGTTTACTGTTTCATTCTGCTCTATGTTCTGTTTAAGCTCCTAAACTTATCGTTTTCTTTTTATTGTTTCTCCCCTGTAAAAAGGTCTTCCTTGGAAATAACGGTGTTCGTGATGTTGAAAACCACGAGCTGCCTCGGCTGGTTTATGTTTCTCGTGAGAAGAGACCTGGATTTGACCATCATAAGAAGGCTGGAGCCATGAATTCCTTGGTAAAATTAACTCTGCTTAATTCTTTGAATTGAGTTATGACGGTCTCCTGCTAACTTACTGACTCTTTCCTTTTCATGTTGCTGTATCTAACCGAAGATAAGAGTCTCGGGGGTTTTATCAAATGCTCCTTATCTTCTAAATGTCGACTGTGATCACTACATCAACAATAGTAAAGCTCTTAAAGAAGCAATGTGTTTCATGATGGATCCTCAGTCAGGAAAGAAAATCTGTTACGTTCAGTTCCCTCAAAGATTCGATGGGATCGATAGGCACGATAGATACTCTAATCGCAATGTTGTATTCTTCGATGTAAGTACACCATTCTCTATCCTTTTCTATCCTGAGTTTTATACTTCTCTCTTACTTAACTTACTTTTGACCTTGGACTTTGTCAAAAACAGATTAATATGAAAGGTTTGGATGGATTACAAGGGCCTATATATGTTGGAACTGGGTGTGTTTTTAGGAGGCAGGCACTTTACGGATATGATGCACCTAAAAAGAAGAAGGCTCCACGTATGACTTGTAATTGCTGGCCTAAGTGGTGTTTATTTTGCTGTGGTTTAAGAAAGAATCGCAAGTCAAAGACAACGGATAGGAAAAAGAAAAACAGGGAAGCATCAAAGCAGATACACGCGTTAGAAAATATCGAAGAGGGCACCACCAACGGTAAAACAGAAGAAATTCCTCTGTATCATTTGGTTTCAACATTTAGTTTCACTTCATTGCTGATAAATTTTTCTTTTGTTTTTTTCAAGGCACAGATAATGCGGTGAAATCACCAGAAGCGACGCAACTGAAGTTGGAGAAGAAGTTTGGACAGTCTCCTGTTTTTGTTGCCTCCGCGAGTATGGAGAAAGGTGGGCTTGCCAGGAACGCGAGTCCAGCTTCTCTGCTTAGAGAAGCAATCCAAGTCATTAGTTGTGGATACGAAGATAAGACCGAATGGGGCAAAGAGGTAATGCAGAGCTCTTTTCAACACTTCATTATCTTTCATGTTGCGATAAGATTTTCTTATTCTTGATGTTTGTGACTCTTCAAGATCGGGTGGATCTACGGTTCTGTGACTGAAGATATCCTTACGGGCTTCAAGATGCATTCTCATGGGTGGAGATCAGTTTACTGTACACCAAAGATTCCGGCTTTTAAAGGATCAGCGCCTATCAATCTCTCTGACCGTCTTCATCAAGTTCTTCGTTGGGCGCTTGGTTCTGTTGAGATTTTCATGAGCAGACATTGCCCTATTTGGTATGGTTACGGAGGAGGTTTGAAATGGCTTGAGAGATTGTCTTACATCAACTCTGTGGTTTATCCATGGACCTCTATTCCACTCCTGGTTTACTGTTCTCTCCCTGCTATTTGTCTTCTCACTGGGAAATTCATCGTCCCCGAGGTAAAACCATCTTTAGTATTTCTCCGAAAGTATGAATCTTTATTCCATGAGATTTATAAAGTATGAACCTTTGATGATCTTGTGTGTTCTTCTTTTGCAGATTAGCAACTATGCAAGTATACTCTTCATGGCACTTTTCTCGTCGATTGCTGTGACGGGCATTCTTGAGATGCAATGGGGTAAAGTTGGGATCGATGATTGGTGGAGAAACGAACAGTTTTGGGTGATTGGAGGTGTATCATCACATCTCTTTGCTCTCTTCCAAGGTCTACTCAAGGTTTTAGCAGGTGTCAACACAAACTTCACAGTCACATCTAAAGCAGCAGACGATGGTGAATTCTCTGAGCTATACATCTTCAAATGGACCTCTCTCTTGATCCCACCGACCACGCTGTTCATCATAAACGTGATTGGAGTCATTGTTGGAGTCTCTGATGCGATCAGTAACGGATATGACTCATGGGGACCTCTTTTCGGAAGATTGTTCTTTGCTCTTTGGGTCATTATTCATCTCTATCCTTTCCTCAAAGGTTTGCTTGGGAAACAAGACAGAATGCCTACTATCATTCTTGTCTGGTCCATCCTTCTCGCCTCTATCCTTACGCTTCTTTGGGTCCGAGTCAATCCCTTTGTGGCCAAAGGCGGTCCCATCCTCGAGATCTGCGGTTTGGACTGTCTTTGATTGATCTTGGTTTGATGATACATAAAACGTTTTTCCACAAGAGGTAAGTAAAGAGGAAAGTGTCACAGATTTGTTTTGTTACTGTGTTTGTTGTTGTCGAGGGGAAAAACCCTATTATTATATTGAACAAGAAAAAAGGGTTTAGATATATAATGTTTAAGTTTTTGGAAGGTGGTGTTGTATTGTAGATATAGAAGGTGTTAGCTATTTGTTCTTGCTATTTTTTTGGGGGATGAAAGTGAAACAGAAAAGAGAGATGTTGTATTATTAATTCTTTCATTGAATATTTTGAGAAATCTTCTGCATATTCCAGATTAAAAAGAAAAAGAGGTTCCGTATGTAATTCTTAGAAATGAAGATGTTTGTCTGTGATCTTCTTCTTGTCTGAAAATAAGGAGGAGATTCAATCTCTGTGAACTTCTATTAATTATTCTCCTCACTCGGTAGACTTCTGAACACGAATCAGTCAAAAGTGAATACGACTCGATGGCAAGAAAACTTTTGAAACCAAACCAAAGGATCATTCATTTTTTTTTTGGTTTCTTTCTTCATTTTCAGTAAATTCAAGTCTGATAACGTGGTTCTTTAACATGTGTAATTTTTTTGAATAAAAAATGGAGAGTATTTACACAATACCTAAAATATCATTAAAATTATATAGAATTTCTTAGTGCATTTTTGAGGGTTGTTAGAGCACGTACAGCAGAGGCTCAGCCCGGGTTCAGGCCCAAAATCCTATGCAGTTTCGAATTAAAAAAAAAAGAAAATGGGCCTAATTTTGACGATCCGGTATCATCCGGACGAGCTTGAGGAGATCGTATCACGACCACGTGTCGTGCGCTGGTTCGTCGAGAATTCGGGAAGTGGGTGGGACCAAAAAAAAAATTTCTCATCGTGCATTTCTCTTTTCTTCAGCCAAATTTTTTTTCTTTCTCAAATGATCATCATTCAGCTTGCCAATCTCTAACACGATACGATCCCTTAAGGTTTAATCAAAGTTTCTATAGATATTTATCGGTAAGCAATTCGATACTCTTAACGATTTTTACTTTGGTAAATTTGATTGGGAATATATCTCTGTTTCTGAATCGCTCCGATCTTCCATGATCATGAAATTCCGATTGCTTTGATTTGGAGAAATATCTGTTTCTGAATCGCTCCGATCGTGTCTCTGGATGTTGAATAATTTTGATCCAAGTTAAATAATTCCTTGAAAATGATCTGTAGTTGGTATTGAGGTGAGTTAGGGAACCAGGTCAATGGCGTCTTCGTCGGATTCATGGATGAGATCACCATTTTCAGTATCCGATTAGAGTCTCTGCAATCTCTTCTTGCCAAACTTCATGGGAAACCTATGTAAGCCATTAATTTTAATCTGTAAACTATAAACTTTTTTAGTTTAGTGTGATCTTCTTCTCCTTTTTCTTTCTTTCCATCTGAACATTTACTTACTGACACAGCTCAGAGAAAGAGATGAACCGGCGCAAGGATATGATTGGGAATTTGAGATCGCAAGCAAATCAGATGGCGAATGCTTTGAACATGTCAAACTTGGCCAATAGAGACAGCTTGCTTGGCTCAGAAATAAAGCCAGATAACACCATGAGCCAAGTTACTTTGATTAGGTTTCATTATTGTTCTTTTCCGCGAGTTAGAACAAGATGAAGGACTTGAGAAGTTGGAGGAAACAGTCATGAGTACAAAACACATTGCTCTCGCTGTCAATGAGGAGCTTGGCTTGCAGACAAGGCTTATCGTATGTCATTGCCTTTTCATTGTTTTTTACTGCTTTGATTAGGTTTCATTATTGTAATAAATCTGGGTTATTTGCACTATGCAGGATGACTTAGACTACCATGTGGATGTTACTGACTCTCGTTTACGGGTAATGCATTAGTCAGTGAATACCTGGTTTAATGAACCACGTTATACTAAGCTAATGACTAATCATAGGCATTGATCTATTATGTTTATTGTTTCTTATAACAGAGAGTGCAAAAGAACCTTGCTGTCATGAACAAGAATATGAGAAGTGGTTGTTCGTGCATGTCAATGCTCTTATCAGTGCTTGGGATCGTTGGCCTCGCTGTTGTTATTTATCTGCTGGTTAAGTATTTGTAATACTAACAATAGAGAACTTATAAGCTTCTCTCTTGTCTTTATATGTGAATGGTCTACTGATTCCACACGTTTGTGCTTGTGCTTTTCATTCTTCTTCCGTTGTTAGAATCCTTTAATAAATATCAAAAATTTGATGATGGCGAAACAAAATGAAGTCCGTAGCAGACAGGTGTATGATCAGTTGAAAGCGGATTTAATCGAAAATCTATGGAATAAATTTGGTTGTTACGTTTAGAAAACAATTTGGTTCTTATATTTATCTATTGTATGTTTTTAAGTACTTGTAATAAATTGTAATCTTCTTTTTAAATAATTATGTGTTTAATTATATTTTAAATTTATTAAATTTTAAATTTACAAAAAAATTAATATAATATTTGGGATGAACTCCGTTTTCAGGTTCACTAATGGAACCCGAAAAAATACTCGGGTTCATCCTTTAAACAAAACCCAAAAAAACTATTATTCTATTCTAATGATTCCCACTCTTAGTATCACTAATGCACATGCTCTTAGTTCAAGATTGCATTTTGAATATGCGTCTTTGCGTTTCATGTTTATGTATGCATTACTCATTTTCTGTTTGCCATTTTTTAACTTAAAACGTGTTTCAATTATAAATGATTTTATTCATATTTGCATTTTAGATTTTGGTGATTTAATGCTATTCAAATAAAAAATTATTTCTTCTAAATATTGGTCGGTCCAATATGTTCTATATATTGTTTTTGTAACGGCTAGAACAAGAGAGGCTTCAATTTTCTCTTAGAAATTTATAGGCTATTCACTCAATTAATTAAATAACTACTGTATATAGTTTTTGAATTATAAAAAGAGCAAGTCAGCGAAGGCTTTACTAAGGGAAAGATACGCGTTTTGTGACCAAGGGAAAGAAGTCAAACAGGTAGGCCCCACAGCATTCGTGTTTTCTTCTTATCGTAAGATTTAGGTCAAAAGAGTCAAAGTAGCAGTATTTTCTCATCATCCAACGGTGAAAATCTGCGATGGTCCTCAATAAGCAGACAACCAAATGTACCTGATAGTTGTCGTTTCTTGCTTTTTTAGACATAGACCCCAATATATTGCCTAAAATCGTAGCCCATGCCAGAAAGTTTATTAATGTTACATTGTGACCCTCGCTAAGGTAAAAAATGGCAGTCTTGGCAAAATGAGATGTACGTTGAGTCATTACTCGGAAATACCTTAACTATATAACTCAATAGTTAATATTGATATTGGGTAACTTAATATAATATATTTTTTTTTTAAAGAAAAAAAAATTTACTTCGTTTTCATAATCCTAATACAAAATATCCATATACTGAATTTTTTTTTTTGAACAACCTAATTTCTTTTTTTTTCTTTTTTTGGGTCAAAATAGCCATGCTAAAATTCTATAACCTGATTCATAGCTATGTGATGGTTAAAAAACATTATTTAGAATCGAGGAAGTGACTTGTAAACGAATAAAAAAGTATAAGGACAATTTTGCAATATATAGTAAAAAGA